GCGGGGGTCACATGAGTAGCCTGAGGCACACAACAGAAGCAGCAAGGGTTAGTCATTAGTTTAGTAAACCTTGAAATAAAAGACTGTTGGGCTGCGATAGTTTTACAGAAGAGAGCAGCAGTTTCCATGTTGCAAGAATAAAGGGCTTTAATGTATTTTAATGTATTGCTCTGGCTCCAGTATACATGTATGTCGCGCTCTGTGTGTGTTTGTGACTGGTGCATGAAGCACAGATGAGGAGGGAGCTGATCCAGAGACAGAAATGGAGGATGGAGGCCTGGTGGGCGGCAAAAGCTGTTTTCTTGTGTTTAACATTAGGAAGGTCAGAGCTTTGAGGAATGGGCCTCGAAGCAGATGGAGGTAAGAGATGAGTGTGAGGGGGTGGACGAGTGACCTCTCTCTCTCTCTCTCTCTTGCTTTGCCATCTTCACTCGCCCGTTTCTCAGTTTTTGCTACTCCTAAAGAATTTACTATATTTATTAATAATAATAATAATAATAATATGTACTGCTTTTACTTGTCTTTCCAACAATGTATTCATGTTGTCCTGATTCTAGTTTAGTAGAGAGCAGTAAATGAGTGTAGTTTTACAGAGATAGTCACTATAGACAAAATATTAGTCTACATTGTCTACATTGATACTAATATTCCCATATTAAGCCCCTTTGCTTTTCATTGTCCTTTAAGCTGCAGGGTTCAAACACAGTGACATCAGTTGAATGATGACGTGGTTCCACGAGTATCTTATGAAACCGTGTGATTAAAACCTTCCTTTTGTAGAGAATCCCTGAACCTTCTTGTACATCCACTCAAAATGGCAGAAATACCGAGTGATTTAGTGCAGAAATCCCTGATTTTATTATGAATCAAATCAAAAAACTGATGCGTGTTCAATTTTTCCAGTATGTTTGGTTTGACTTAGTGTGATAAGAACTACCTTGACTGACAGAAACGGCCATATCCCATCTGTAAACATGGAGGAGGTGGCCTTTACTGCAGTCAGCCTAGAGCGGGCGATCACTTCTCAGGAGCAGTCACGTCGTCCATCTTTATATCGAATCTATTGTTTTTGAAAGCAGAAGAAAGTGTGGGATAAAGAAAGTGATGACTTTTCATCATCTGACAGACGAGTAATAACCTCTCATGCAGCCTCAGTTGAAGAATTAGGGATATTGACTTTCTGCTAAAGGTGTGAACAACACCATTGATCCAACACTTAAGAGTTTCATAGTGAAGCCAACATGCAGGAGACTACTATTTGTCTCAAGTGTTCCTCCCACACACAGAAGCCTTGAGCTACATTTGCTGTGTTTAGTACTCAACCCATGCAGGCCCTCTCTCTCTCTCTCTCTGTGTGTCTGTCCATGATTAGAAAAACTCATTTCTCCTACACCCAGTGTCTGTGGGCCCTGGACTGAGGAAACAGAAAGACCTGAATGGAAGGAGGGAAGCAAACCTCATATATTTATTATGGCCTTAACAATGTTTGTTTGCAACTGCCACACAACAGGGACGTTGGGGTAAAGGATGCTCTGTACTCCGGTGCTTGTGTGCGCACATGTTGCTTGTGTGTGGGTGTGTTTATTAGACATGTTGCTGCCAAGTGCTCTGACGCTCTCCAGCCAATAATTGCATGTAATTGCATCCATTTGTGGGGAAAAAGGCTAGATGAACATTACAGAGATCTGTGACATCAACTGCGAAGCATCTGTTGACTCAAGGTTAAAGCTGACTTCTTTTTTGTTGTTGCGTGACACGTGATGTCAGGTGGCAAGTGATGGTTACTATGGTGACCATGGCTGGCGCCTCTGCATTTGTTCAGCTTTGATAAACACTGAATACGTCAAGGCTGGAAAGATTCTCCATCTTTCTTCTCATCGACACATCACTGAACAATGAAGTGATCCGGCTGACGTGCACCATCTGTGGAGCCACAGCCTGATACCGTCCTTGCTTTCCTCTGTGGCCACATAGAGCTCCTTTGGTGTCCTAAACCTATTCAATACACAGAACACTGTTGCACTGGGTGACATGTGCCTTCATTAGAAGAATTGGTTTTCTAGTTGATTTTGTGTCAGTATCTCTTACGCTTACCTTCTGCTCGAGAAAATATTCTCCTACAGATTTACCATTTCCTCCTCCTGTTTGAGGAAGAACCATACATTTATATATGTATAGTATTTAAAGATGGATGACGTGTCTCCACTTCCTTTTACTCTCCAGAAATGAGGCCAGAATATCCCAGACCAAAGAGCTGCCATTTCACGCATTTGAAGCATCATCAAATAACTAATTAAATCCAAACTTACTGGAAAAAATTAATGCTTGAACAAACATTGTGACAAGAACTACTTAAAATGACAGAAACCACTTTTGAGAAAAATTTATTTGAGTGGTACTTGTACGAGCATGGAGAGCTATACTGCAGCAAGCCACCAGGTGGCGATGGAGATGCTTTTGCTTCATTTTTTGGTAAGACTTAATTCAATCCTTTAAAATAATTTTTAACTAAACACTGCTAAACATTTCTTTGCTCGAATAGCCACATAAAACAAAAAAAAACATTTCACCAATGAGTCTAAGAACAGTAGAACAGCAACATCCCTCCGTAAACTAGGTTATGAATTTACATAATTAATAGCACAATAAAAAATAAAAAGGCCACCCGAGTGGGGAAGCACAGTGAAGTGTGTGTTTGGGATTTATTCTCCCAAACAAACAACACTCACAGAACTGGGTCGACGTACATTGCAGTGTGTTCACTGCAGGACCTGATTAACAAAAGAAACACACAGCATGTTTTATCTAATGGTGTTGTTTGTTTCTAACAAACATATGTAAGCTACTAAATAATTTCTCCACCATTAAATTATTCCATTAATCAATAAATAGTGTTTTTACATTTGCAACCTCAATAGATGCAGACATAAATAATAGATGATATAAAATTGCTCTGCTGCCAGAAGAAATGGCTCCTGTGACTCAGTGTGAATTTACAATAACTGTGCTTTGATTGGCCTGAAAAGAGGTTTGTTCATTTTCTTTATTTCACAGTTTGTAATGTCCTGTGGGAGGACGTCAATAAAATGGTAGTTTGCACCCCTTGTTATTATCTGCACAATACGTGACATCATCAGCGGATACACAGGGTGAGGAACAAAAGATGATGGGAAGCGTTTTGAGGCCGACTCATTGGCTATCCTGCTGCGTCTCCGTCATCAGAGACTGACAGCGCTGCAGGTGACGCAGCAGAGGGAGAGATGTCTTATCCTCCAATCTTTTCTTTGCTTCTCGGCCCCCGCATTTCAAGTGGGACGGACTGAGGCAATGGGAAAAGGATGTGTTTGAGAGGCAGTGTTGTGACGAGGGAGGGAATTGGCCTGTGACTATTGGTTCATTCACACCTGGGGATCCTCTACTGTTCTAAAGGAGAATGTTAAAATACAAATACTAGAAAAGCAGTTTTAATGTTGGGGTTTGATGGGGTCTGATGTGTGTGGACTCTCATTCTGCCTCTCTCTGTTTTTCTCTTTCTGCCTCGTTTTTTTCCACTGCTGGGTCTAAAATGTTGCGGCTTCTCTAAACTTTATTTTTTTCCGTGTCCACATACAAACGATGCCAAATCGTACAACAATGCACAATAGACAGAGCCGTTGCCAATGTGACGCCAACGCTCACCAACTGGACTCCTGGACAGTCGATTTCAAATTTGCAAATAAAAAGAATAAACGATGAAATGAAAGTGGCTGGCCGTATGACTGGAGGACCAGAGGGGTCATCAGAGGGTTTAGGAAAGAAGGAGTGGGACATAATTGGTGGATGCTTCTTTTTGAAAGAACAGCTTGAAAAATAAAAGCAGCAAATGAAAAAAATGTTCAGGGTGAATCAGTTGAAAATGTGGAGCTGTGAGTTGGGACTGGGTTATAAAAAGCTTCACTCCTCCATATCTAGTTCGACACTGGGATCTATTTATTTAATGCTTTGTATATATTAATAACTAGGATCAAATTATTTAGAGACCTGAAAAACATTGCTTTAAAAATACCATCATATTTGTGAATGGAATCATTTCTGTTTTGCACTTCACTTTCAAATGACATTGAGATTTAATGCCATCATGAATTTCTAGTTTCAGGAAAACTGATACCGCTTGACTTTTTTATGCCTCAGCACAACTGGCATATGAGTTGTCAGCCTGTCCGTCTCATCTTTGTGGACATGAAATGTGTGAAGTGTTCACTGGGACTCAAAGGTCATTTTTTTGCCCTGTGAACATTTTATCTCGAGAACACCACAAGAAAGTCCTTTAATCCATTAACTGATTAGATTTAGTTGGACTTTTCAACAAAAACTGGGATGATTGGTTAATGGTATGACTGTTTATCTCTACGTCACACAGGACACCTGTATTCCTCCAACCCTTGTCCTACCGCGGGGACATTTTATAACTCACCCTACGCCATGTTCAGCACCACCCTCCATTTCATAACCTCCAAATATCAGAGAGGAGAGATAAATACATACTTACATTATGTTAGAGATATTAAATACACAGCTCCAAAATGTCAGGCCCCTCCCCTTCACAGACTTTCATTGAAATTGGTTGAGGAGCTGTTGTTATATCATAGTCAAAAGTTTTACATTTAAAAAAATGGGGAAATGTGTGTTTGCTCGTGTACAGCTATCTTTGTGAGGACCAGTTTAAGCCTTTAACCTATGGAGTGAGGACATTTTTGGGAAAGTGAGGACATTTTTGGGAAAGTGAGGACATTTTGGCCAGTCCTCACTTGGTACCCCCCCTTTAATGCACTGTTTGGGGGTTAAGACTTGGTTTTAGGGTTAGAATTAGGTTACGGTTAGGTTTAGGGTTAGGCATTTAGTTTGGATGGTTAGGGTAAGGGGCTGGGGAATTCATTATGGCAATGAATGTCCTTACTAAGAAAGAAGTACAAACGTGTGTGTGTGAGCTTGAGCTGCTGACTCACTGTCTTTTGTTGCAGATGAAATCAGTCTGGAGGGCATGGTGGTGCACAGAGCTGAATGCAGACCAGTCGTCAATGACAACTACATGAAGCTGAAGAAGTGAGTGAACTTTTTCCATTGTCTGTTCATTTGTTCAATCTAACATATCAGTGTCACTGAATGTTCCCTCGAACAACAATAAAGTGAGATGTTCCCAACAATAACATGCAGTTTTTAAAATTCCATCACAGTCAAGGAGCAGCCTCATGAATTAGTGCTGTTGAAGTTGAGTCCTTCACCTCCTTGATACAGAATCTCTTCAAGTGTTGTGAATTGATTCCAGCAGGAGTAGAAGAGGTGTGATGTGTTGTCTGAAACTGGTGATGTGTGTACACTAAACACTCCGCTCAAACTAAAACCTGCTCTCTGTCTCTTCTGTATTAAAATCCGTTGTTGAGTTAGTGGACCTCATCGCTATAGCAACAGCATCACTGGCAGATGAACCCCTACAATACAACCAGAGGCCAACACACACAGACAGTTTGTTTTATCGTGTGAGACCTATTCACACAGTGACACCCACTAATACGTAACAGGAAAGATCCTTAAAGAATGGCAATGCAAAAAGTTCCCTCCTCACAGGCTCTTCTGTGACCGTGTTAAGTTATCTGCCCTCAACCTACGGAGCGTCTGCAGATCAGAGCGGCTCAGATTCCTCTGAGACGTGATATTTGTCTGCTGTACAGTAAAGTACACACTGAACAGAGATCGGTCCAGTTCTCTTTCATCTCAGACTCCACAAAGTCTCCACAATGTCATTTTCTCTCCAGTTATAAAATCTCACATATAAATGTTCCTCCATCATGGCAGCACACAGGGTACATGATGTTGTCATGGTGTGTGTGCTGCAGGTGTTACTCATGTTGTGGGGACCTAAATCTGTTTACACCATCACATTATGGGGATTTGTTTTCTCTATGGGGACAAAAATCACGTCCCCACATCATAGGTCAGATAAAGACAGTTTATGGTAACATTTAGGTTTTATTAATGGATATTAATATGAAGAGTTTTGATTTTGTGTTCATTCAGATATAATATGGAGGTTGAAATATGACTCATCTACATCTAAACCAGAGGAAATAACATAATTGTCTAACATAATCACTACTTCTGCTCTTGTATCTGACCATCGATGTAAATAAATTGTTCAACGAGCCCAGTCAAAAGAAAATAAATAGAAAGCAGCTGACAATAGATACATGTCAGTTTGACCTCAGGGTGCAGACAGATGCTCTGTGGCCACCGTGGCAACAGGCACATCTGTCTGTGTGAATCATGAATCATGTAGATCACATGGCAAACCTGTGTGTGTGTGTGTGTGTGTGTGTGTGTGTGTGTGTGTGTGTGTGTGTGTGTGTGTGTGTGTGTGTGTGTGTGTGTGTGTGTGTGTGTGTGTGTGTGTGTGTGTGTGTGTGTTAGGTTACAGCTCAAAGAGTCCACCAAGCCCCAGCGTTTGTCACAGCAGCTGGAGAGAGCCATCACCACGGTCTTCAAGCCTGTGGCCAACCACGATTTCAATGTGAGTTCTATTAACAGCAGTGTGTCTGTGTGTGTCTGTGTATTTATCTTTGTGAGGATCAATTTGAGCATGGACCTTGCAGAGTGTGGACATTTTGGATGGTCCTCACAAGAACTGTTGGAAGGTTAAGACTTGATTTTTAGAGTTATTACGAGAGTTAGGTCAGTTCTTGTGAGGCCAAAACACCAGGTACACAACTGATGATATGTCTCTAACGTCTGTAGGTGGTTGGTAACTTGTCATGAAACTAGTGCAGAAGGCCTGACATGATAACTCTATTTGTTGGAGGATATATCGTCCCGATGGTGATAAACAATAATATTCTCAGCCTCCAGAGTTCAATCTGTGAATGTAGAAAGTCTGTTTCAGTCTTCAGCAAAACATAAACCAGTTAGATCCAGTGAAATCAAGGCCAAAAACAAACAAAGAGTCCGCTGCAGATTTTATCAAACCAACAAGTCGGGAAAGTGAACAGGAATTGTGTCCATGTCGCAATTCAACACAGCAGTAGTTTCTATGTGTACTATGGGTACTCACCGTACTGTGGATGGTGAAGTCGGTCGATTAGTCGGGTATCCGGCGTCAGTCTTTAACTCCAACAAGGCCGGCAACAAGTCTTGTTGAGTTGGCCTCATATTCTAACCGTCTGAGTCACCTCCTGCACAGTGTTGTTTAATAAAATGTGACCCCTCTGTAACATCAGTGGCATAAAATTGTTTTAGCTTCTGCACATCGCCATGTTTTTCATCTTTATTGAAAAGGGCGCTTCAGTTTTCCACATCATTTCAGTTTCTTTATATTTTTCCACCTCTTCCTTTTCTCCTTTACAAAACAACTATGAATCAATTAGTTGGCAAAATTAAGAGCGGATTAATCAGTAATGAAAACAGCAATTACTTGCAGATTGTTGTGGTTCTGAAATGAAGGAAAAATAACCTTGATAATGTCATAGTGATGCCTTCAGGGTTTTCTATAGCCGGCCTTGGAGACCACTTGTTTTCAGCAGAAATAAAAGCTTTTGTGTAACAAAGTGGAGGAGGAGTATGAAAGACTTGAGCCTCAACAAGGCCTCATATGAAATCAAGGATCCAGTTTCCTAAACTACAAGTCAGGATATCTCAGCGTTGACTAAACTTTAAGTAAAAAAATCAAATATAAAAGCCAGGGTTTAAGTTGCTGTGCAATTTATAAACATGATATTAACTAAATACTTATTTCTTGGGAAGGATTGAGGGTCAGAGTCATAACGTCACATGTGGTGAAATCCACAGACGTAAATATGGACTGAACACACAAACCTGTTTCTTCTCAGTTGGAGTATGAGAAGAAGAAGAAGTCGGAGGGGAAGATGGTGAGAGCAGAGCGACAGGTCGTGTTGGACATGCTCTTCTCCGCCTTCGAGAAGCACCAGTATTACAACATAAAGGACCTGGTGGACATCACCAGACAACCTGTGGTTAGTGAGACACACACACATTCACAAAACACACACACACACAAAACAATATAACAGAACAAAAAATAAAAACAATACACCTGCCCACTATCCACCTTGCTTTGTTAAATTTGAACAAAACGCCCACAGCATGATGTTCATGCCTGTTCACACTATCTGTTGTGGCTGAATTTTGGGCCAACATGCACACACTCACACAGACACACACAGGGATAAATCAATACGGTGCCGTGGATTGGTTCCAGCTTGCAGAGAGCAGCGATGTGTAGGTGCTGATGAGACCTCGAGGTCCTCCTCTCCCTCCCTGATTGCATCTGATTGTGTAACCACCGGCTGAGTAGGAGTCAAACGCTGCAACACACTCCACGCCACCACTTCTCTCCTGAAGCACTTGGCTAACACTCAAATTAACCAAACTAAAGTAACACAAATGTCCATTATGAAAAGTCTTGAAACGCTCTGCACTCTTATTCCTTATGCAGAGCCGGCTGGTCTCCGTAAGCTCAACAGAGACACCCAGTGGTCGTCGGAGAGTATAGTCTCTCACAAATGGCATGACTTTGTTGTCTGTTCTTGTAATGACAGAATGTCTTTCACAATAGTTCATGTTCATTAAAACCACACTACTGAAACAAAGGGTCTGTGCAGATGTAAATGTGTCGGGTGTGTGAACACAAGCAGCGACTCAACACGTTAAGGGAATAGATGTTTTTGACATTTTTGGAATTAAATTCTCTCCTCTCAGACGTACCTGAAAGAGATCATGAGGGAAATCGGGACATACAACAGCAAGGGAGCTCACAAAAGCACCTGGGAGCTGAAGCCAGAGTACCGACACTACCAGTCGGCCGAGGAAGAGGAGGAGACGGAGGCCGCCTAGTTCCAGCAGGAACCTCAGGCTGATCACCAGGGTTCATCCATGGTACGAGAAAAATCAGACAGGGACTTCCAAACATAAATACTCTTCATCAGACATGAAGCTTGAATGTGTGTTTTGAAGATTATAAAAACGCAGATATAAAATGTAGAAGGCAAAAACAGTGAAATGTCCCCTTTTCATAATCACAAGATGAATGTTTAGTAATGTTTTGTATGTTGTATAATTCTATAGACGTTTTGTGTCAAACAGGCCGCTGTGGGGACTGTTTCGTATTTAATTTGTATGTGGGAACATTAATGTGACTGAAAATCTGTCCATGCTGAACTTTTCTTTTGCTTTCAGAATAAATCTCACTGAACCTTCACATCTGTCCCACTTTTATTCCCCAGAACAGTCACATTTCAGCAGAACAGGCTTTTATAACAGCAGAAGCATAAGTGGAGACACTGATAATCATGTTTTTAATAAAAAAAAACCCTCCATTCATTACGTGCACCTCCCACTGATGATGAAATGATTTAGAAAACTAAAAAAGGCGACACAGTCGAACTCAGACCTCTGCCAACACTCAACAGTTTAATTCTGCCCCAACTCATGTGGACATAGTTCTAAAACTATTCAGGATACATAAAACTTTTGCTTCTCTACTGAATCCACATGACCTCAGTGACACATTAGTGGAAGTTGAAGGTCTGTAGCCACACATCAACTGAAAAAGGTCACAATGGCCTCACAAAAATGTTTTTGGCCCCTTGAATGTGATATGTCAACAACTAGTTAGTTGTGACTTGGACACAAAGGAAGTGATTCAATTTCCATGGTCAAAGGTCACAGTGAGATATGAATCTGGAAAAAAAAAGTATGTTGTCTGAAACTGCACTTGTAGTTGTATGAAACTAACGGGTTTAGTTCAGTTGTGATGCTTTTCTAACTTCAGCAGAAAAAACCACTGAGTCCACCAACACTGTCCTTTACAGATGGTAGTGAAGGGAAGAATCTGCAGTTTGATCTGTAAAACAGCAGTTTTTATAGGTGAGGCAGCAGCTGTAGTTGACAGTCGGAGGATTTTTCCCTCTTGTGGCTTCAGTGAGAACAACAGGAACGTGAGTGAGTGTGTTCTGTGTGAGTGTTTATGTGTGTGTGTATTTCAGAAAATAAAGACATCATCTCTTGTCGAAACGTTTCAGCTGCAGTGAATCAGAGAAAATCACAGACCGATGAGCAACACGGCTCGAAACTCTTTTCCCGGTCACGGTGCACAGTTCTAGTAGTGTTACTATGGCAACAGCATTTAACTGTATTTACAGTGAATCCCAGAGGAGAGAATTTAAACATGGAGCGTCTGACACACTTTAAACACTTCGTCAGTTCGATTAGGGTTTATTTTATTTACTTCCTTAACCTTAAAATGAATAATGTTTAGATGCAAAAATGAATTATTATTGTGGAAACACATTCATGCAGGAAAGAGATTAGTCTTTTTCTACCACAACAAAAAGATCCATATCCCAATTGGAGCTTTAATAAATCAGCCAGGTACAGAGAGCTGTGTGAGAGTTTAGAAAAACAAGGGAATCAATTTATCTGTGAAGAGGTTCTCAATTCTTCCTCAACCAAAGATAGAAAATATTCCAGGGACCCTCTCCAGTACATGTATAACACAGCCTATTATTGACACTTTATATTAAACAACAACACAAGAGGAAAGTCTCAGGAAGTTATTATACTTACATATAAAAAACATTTTTACCATGCCAACACAGAATGAAAACAAATATTTTAAAAGATGAATCTGGAAACCTCACTGACACCCATTTGAGAGCCACTATCAAACTGCCTTTCTCATGGTTATTTTTCAATGAAATGAATCTTGTGTGCATCCCTCTCCACATTAATTAACACATTTAGTAATATTCATAGTATTTCTCTTGGTGTGAGACACATTAGAATAAATCATGAGGCTCTTCAAACTTTATTTGAAGCCGTTTCATAGTATGAGTAATAATTATATATGTGCTATTTTACTTTAATGTGTTTATTGGAAGATAGACTTCATTTGAAGAATGGACAAACTCACTGGTGGTAGTTGATGGATCTGATGACCAGGGCTCTGGACATGGAGACCGGAGGTGAGTGGGGAGGAGGGTCACAGCAAAAGAACTGAAATGACAGAGACAGAGAGAACAGATTCAAAGTTTGACAGCATGATTGGCTGATTGAGATCATGGCAACATCTGACTGAATAATGGTTAACATCCAAAGTCTGGATTAAAAGAGGCGAGAGTAAGAATTGTAAATGAATAAGACCAATGTGTTCTTGTTTGGTCCGTTTCTCTGCATCCAGGGTTCAGAGAATAGTTCAGGGCCCCTCGTGCCTCACTTTAATACACTACTTTAAAATCTTGGTGTCATCTTTGACCCGACGTTGACATGCGACAAACATATCACATCATCGAAGGTTGTTACTTTTACCAAACTATAAGAAAATTGATTTGAGCTTTATACAAAAGCAATCTGACCAAGAGCATTGAAAGATAAAAGAAGTTAAAAACTTACCAGGTTTCTTAGTGTCTTCATTTCAGCTTCATTTGTGTGAACAAACAGTGGTCGTACTTCAAACTGACTGTGGACTCTTGTTTCAGCAACAGTCTGATGTACAAAGAAACGTTTCAAATAAAACCGTTCACGTTACTTGCAGAGTAACTTTATTTCTCCTTTGTCAGCGTTCGATTGTTTGGTACAACAGGCACCATTTTTATTTGAACTGTGATCATCTTGAATGATGACGCATCACCTTTGTGAAACTCCATACCAGATGAGACGACTCCTGTTTATAGTATGTGGGAAAGTTTAAGGTCCAGTTTAACAAAGATAAACCTCGGGGGCACCCCAACGTCAAAGGTACTCAGGGCAGCATTTGTAGAGGCAGGGGCCCGGTTAAAAACCAGTATGTGTATTCAAATAAAAGCCTCAAATTATAGTCATAATAAAGACTTCTACAGAAAGAGAAAAAATATCCGAGTGGAGCTCAGGAAGACGACCAGCAGACTCTGAAAACATGCAAAACAAAAGAACAAACAGACAATAAAAAGTATTTCATGTACACAAAATAAACAAATTATGGAGTATTTATTGACAGATGATGACAAAGATGCAAGTGCAACACAGAAACAATATACAATTCTGCTCCCACATAGTACAACACCATGTTAATAGAAATTATTTTTGTTTAAATAATTTCTAAAGCAATATCATTTTTAGTTCAGGGCCACTGGAGTCAGGTTTTGACCAGTCGTCCTGTGATGAGCATGGATTGAGTTTTAGCAGGAGAGAAAGAACCACAGAGGGAACACATCATTTTCCAAAGTCCTGTATCGACTTTCTGACCTGAACTGAACATTAAAAAACTACAGCTGTCCACAGTCTGTGATGACCAACTTCTTTGTGGGCACGCCTCCCTTCGTGCCCAGCCCTCCCATCTGCTGCACCACGTCCATGCCTTCCCGCACCCAACCAAAAGCCACGTGTTTGAAGTCCAGGTGTTCAGCTTTCTTCAGGGTGATGAAGAACTGGGAGTTGTTGGTGTCTCGCCCGCGGTTTGCCATCGACAGGATACCTGGGCCCGTATGCCGAACGTCGAAGTTCTCATCCTCAAACTTGCTGCCGTAGATGGACATGCCTCCTGTGCCGTCACTGTTTGTGATGTCACCACCCTAAATGACCAATAGGTTCTTGTTAATGATGTAACACAAAAGCAGCAACGCAGATTTACATGACACTTGGTGGAAAGATGCAGTAAGATCCAAGGAGCACCCCATTACATTTTGGTGTAAATTTGGATTAAGAGGCAGATCCAAGAATAGTTTTTAATCACTTGTTAACATTGCATTGCATGGTATTTGTCAGCATTTTTGTTATTTCCTCAAGGAATATCAATGGCTGAGTATCAATGATTGTGTGCAATTTGGTGTGGCTCAGAATAAAAGTCTTTGTAAAAACTTCCAGGTTTCATAGGGGGCTAGTCTAAGTAGTCCATATTCTTTTTTGAGCCAATGAAAACCCCCATGCATGATTTTCACAGCACAAGCAATAGAAAAGTAGAAAATGTCTTAAAATCATTATTATTTTACAAATGTCTACAAATTGTATCCACACTTTATTGCATTTAAGTGCCTGTGATGCAGATTTAATCATAGATTTGACACATTCTCTTAGGTTAAAGACATAGATCCGAGGGTTAGGAAATTAGTTATGAAATTGGCAACCTTCATATCCAGGGCTGTAGGAAGAGTGCACTATGGGCCTTGGCAGAGGTCTGCGTGCAATTTCAGTTACTTAGTCAAATAATCACATAATTTAAACACATTCATCTGCCATATTTACATTACATTTCACGATATAGTTGTAAGGCTGCTTCATGAGCAAGAGGACCCCCCCCCAAAAGAATCAGGGCCTTTAAGTCCCATCAGGTCTCTTGTTTTCTTACTGAACAAAATAAACTAGTGAGTCATACTGAACAAATTATTGTGACACAAAGCCTGGGACGTTATGACAGGAAGCATTCAAAAGAAACGGAAAAACAATAGTTGTAACAAAGTGGTTTGGTGACTTTGTAAAATGCAGCTGCCTTTAAAAAATATTTTTGAACAAATTGAGAGTTAAGAATTTGTGTAGACTTTTTATTTTGATAAAGTAGTAGCTTTAGAGCTGAACTACGATTAGATGAAACACTGATTTATTTTACTGTGTATAAATCTGATGTTCACTCCAAACATGACTATAATCGTGTACATGAGGTCATATTTGAGGCATTGAACAGATAAATGATTAAAATTCTGGTTTAAATTGAGCTCAACTGAAACTGAGTATGTCAGCTCAGTGTAGATTAAGTACTGTAGTCATATATACATCATATATATATATATATATTTATATATATGAGCGCTATCATTATAGATGCTTTGAGTAACCACCAGTAAGCAAACATCACTGTGAGAGGAGAGCATAGTTTTGTAAGCTCTAAACACATCATGCAGCTTTGCACAAGTTTAGTCATCTCCTCACCTGACACATGAAGTCCGGTATGATTCTGTGGAAGATGGAGTCCCGCAGTCCGATGCCTTTCTCCCCGGTACAGAGAGCCTTGAAGTTTTCTGCTGTCTTGGGCACAATATGGGAGAAAAGCTCTATGGTGATGGTGCCCAGTGTTTGGTTGTCGGCTGACACTTTGAGGAACACCTGTGGGTTACTGTCTCTGGAGTGCTCTTGAATTCTAGACATCTGTGGCGAAAGGACAGACGAGGCATCGTCGCTGCTCAGGCCTATTCGGCTCTGACACTCACAGAATGTCTTCTTGAAAGCTTCGGCTATCTCAGGGGTTTTGAACTTGGCTGCCAGTTGCTCCACTGCACCATCGCCATCTGGAAAATGACAAGAGATCCTCTTACAGCTGAAAATGTATATTGGCACACAACAATGTTTAATAACAGGCATTTTTGGCAGAAACCTTAAAATCTGCATCTATACAAAACCTAGTTTATAATATTCATGCTAAAGAAATGTGATTCAAAATGTTACCTCTGTTTCTCTCTATATTACAAAAAAACAAGCAGCTGAATGTGGGCTTGCTGTGATCCCAGGTGCTCTGAACATGAGAACAGCAGAAAGCACACCAGTGTAGGGCTTTTTCTCACTGCGGTAATTAAACGTGGTTTGGGCTTGGTACACCCCCACCGGTCTGACGCCTTGTGACAGTATTGCTGTTACCAGCCCTACACCTGTCAAGTTACTACAAGATGATTCAATCTAATCTACATCAGACTGAAGCAAAGATTAGTGTCATTAGTGCAGAAACTGACTTCATATCCACAACATGTGTACCTGAGTAGTCGGTAGCGGTCCATAGCAGCGAGTTAGCTGAGGCGTTCATAGGTTTGAGCTCCATCGCCTGAGTGATGTGGTGGTTTGCACAAACCCTCAGCACTTGCTCTCGTCGCATCAGGATTCGGTAGAAATGTTTGGACGGGTGATAGAGGATCTTGATGTCACCTATTCCGCGCTCTTTCCACTGACCAAGGTCCCGGTCCCATCGGTACAGCTTGGTACGCTCCTTAAACAGGATTTCCTCGTCCTCCTCTCCAGACTTTGTCTCCACCTGAGAGACACAGTTACATCATGAGCTGTGGTCCTCATCAGTAAAAAAAAAAATAAGATCAAATATTGAAGCTCAGCGTTTTAATCTACCTCTGGTAGAGACACTATTGGTTCAAAATGAATGTCCACATTGCTTGAAGCCTCATCATCAGTGCCCTCCTCCTCGCCAGTATTTTTTGGTGCTGAGGGCACTGCACACCCAAACACTGAAGCTCCAGCATTTGCCCACGTGAAGTTGGTGTCTGCACGAAAGAGAAAACATTAAATATGTAGTGAAATATTAGTTTGTTGTGATGATACCTTGGTAGATATATGTTAAAAACTGGAAAATCTGAAGCCAACCTTGAGATCCGAATGCATAACCTTCTGTGGTTTGGGCCAAGTCAGCAAATGAGAAGCCACTAACATCGTTGAAGCCAAAGGTGGAGAAGTCTGTGGTGGGAGAACAAAGTTAATATTAATCAATAATAACGTGATGCAAGTATCAAAAGTAGCAGAGGATGAATTATTAGCATTATGTGTAGTGGTCCCGCATACACTGTACTGTACACTGCTGATGAGGAGGCATACACATCAAGACACCAGTAAATCAATGACTACGTGTGAAACGTAAAAGACACAGAAACATCAGAGTTGAATCTTTTGAAGAAGGTTGTGTCTAAGGCTGAAAATTGTGAGGGGTGTTTAGTTCAGGCTGATTTTTCAGGCACATTTCGGAACTCGTTGACAAAAGTCCAATTACCATTTGTGAACTCTCAAAGGAACGATTCAAGAGGCTCGCCAACAAGACCACGGGCACGGTATACAGTTTGGAGACCAGACATACTATTCAGGGTTTTCTGGTATGCGATCGTGTAGTGTATGACCCTCTATCACTAGTGAGTTGTGTAGTGTGAACTTCACAGCGATCAAATGACTCTGAAAGTCCCTTAGTCTGAACGAGGCATAAATCAGCCATTTCTTATATTTTGTACACCACACAACATGTAAGATTATCAAAGGTGGTTAGTTATATATGTAGTGAAAAGCAGGAAGTGCTCTGTACCTTGACCAGTTTTAGAAGAAGTGGTAGAAGCTGTTGCCTCAGTGTTGGACTCCGGCTCTGAGCTCTTCTTTGTTGATAGGTCGATGGGACAGCTGCTGCTGCTGCTGCTGGGAGCTTGACTACTAGTCTCCACTGGCTGCTCTGAGGTCGGCTCCTGTGGTGTAGATGTGTTGCCTGCAGTGTCTGAACTGCTGGATGACGGAGCTGGTGTCTGCTCTTCTGGGGCAACTGCAGAGCTGCTGGAGGCTTTTGCTCCTTCATTTAACTGGGCATCCTGGTACGAGGGACAGGGATAACAAATACAGTCAAGAGGCTTGTAAGAAAAAAGATTTGAGATTATGAGGCATACATGAGCATTATTTATATGCATCAGAGTAATGTGAAGTTACTCTATATTAAAAGGAATCTGATCTGGCTGAAAAAAAAACTTGATCACAACATTCCTGGTACTTCAACACTGTCAGCTTATATGCTTATTGCTCGGAAATCTTATCTGTGCAAAATGCAGTGCCCTCAAAGTGCACCATCATTTACCAGGTCTTGCTGTGCCTTGCGGACTTCTGTCTCGAAGTCCTCAGTCTTGTCGTGGTCTGTATCACTGTCTGTGGTGCTCAGGCCGCAGAAGAAAGTGGGTGGAAGCAAGAGGCTTTTGGCCTTCTCCTCTTCCTGCGGCGTCGGCTTCTTCTCCCACACCACCTGGCAGTCTGGCTCTGAAGGCAGCACACACAATATAAGGGCTGGAAAATGGCACCAACAGTTATAATTATGCTTCTCTCATAAACTCAAAAATACAAAATCTAAGCAATGATACTGGAATAGGTGAGGGTGATTTACTGGAAATTGCAGAACATGACTGTGAAGGGATTAACATACATACCATTGCTACACGCTGAAGCCCCTTGCTCAGGAGCATCCGGGTAAAGCTTTCCATTCAAGGCTTTCACTGCTGACTCATAATCCTCGTCTGAAAATTCAAAATCAACAGAATTTTGCATGAATTACATTTTAATCTGCTAATAAGGAAGATATGTTGATTTCATTGTTCTCACTCCTACAGACTTGGACAATGGAACAGACACAGGAGTGTTGGACAGTTCAGTGAAAGTCTATTTTAAATTACACACATACGGTTTTAAGGGATGTTTATGCAATGATCAGAGACTTATAAACTTTCTAAGGGGACTAAAGCTGTGTAAGACTAAATATTGTTTAATACATGAGCTAATGGTAAATTAATAAAAGGTGATGCATCAAGCTCAAGCAACATTTTGTTGAAAATCTGAAGTATATTCACATTAACCTGGAAATGCTACTCATTCAAGTCACTCAATTTATAGCCAGTGTCACTGGTTATGAATACGGCTGTGATTTAAGTTTCTAGCAGATCATTGCTAACTCAAGTTGCATTGTAATAATGAAGAATGTCATTGGTAATAAATGAAAATGTAAGAAGTCCAAGTGTGATCTGAATCGAATCATGGCTAAACTAAAGCTTTCCAACCAGAACATGGACAGAAATTGTATGCAAAACACTATCAGAAACAAAGAGTGACCACACCATGAAAAGATAAATAATAAAAATCAACTTCATCAAATACAGTATTAGCTAAATAAAGAAAGTAAGACTGAGATCCCTACATAACAGTTTCATTTTGACAGTTAATCCAAGGATGAGCAACAGCTTCTAAACCATATTTAGGGTGAAAGTAGATTTAACATTTGGGGAGGGCCAAGAAATACCACCATTTTACTGGGAAAACAGTCCTTTTTAATGATACATGTAAACAGACTAACAGAGGAGAAAGTCATACTGCTGTGTATCAAACTGACAGTGACTTGTGGTGATTTAAATATTCAAGGCCAGATGTCTTGCCAGCTCTAGAGGTGGATACCTGCAATGCATTAACTACTGTACACGCTGACCAAGAAGAAGTACCACTACATTCAGAGACATGCAACACCCACTGGTTTGCATCATAGTGGAGTGGAGTATTCCTCTCCTGTATACAAGTCATCCTTTTATACTCATGAGAGATATTTTGGCCTCACCGTCAGTTTGATCATCACTGATGTATCCTGGTTCATTCTGGTAGCAGAAGAAGGTGAGGGGCAGCAGGAGCTTCCTGGCTAAAGCGGCCTGTTCAGCAGTGGGCTCCCTGACATACACAATCTCCACTTCTGAGTCCTCATCCGACACTGCACCACCTTCTTCTGCCTGTGAGGGCCCTATGACACAGATACGATAGAGGTAGAACAAGACGGGTTGGGAAAGTACTGTTCAGGGGATCAGCAGAAATGAATACGCTTCCACTTAATTCCCTTTGCAACCACAGGTGTTAGTTCACACACACACACAAAGAAGTCATGCTCAGCAAAACGGAATAACATGCCTTTGATTTACACATGTATGAAACAACCTGTATTAAGAGAACATTATGTGAACATGTCCCCATTTTCATTTTACTTTACTGACTACACCAGTTGTGCTTGCTGGTCCTTGCTGGACACACGATACTGTAAAATTAAATTGCTTAACTGTCAGAAGCTGGACTAGAGACAGGGAATTACATTTCACACTGTTGCTACACATCCTGCACTAAAAATGGAGCGTGTGATGTTTGCACAGTGCATTCCTCTGTGAGGGAGCACTCTGTGTGGAATCTTCTCAGCTCACCTTTCAATAGACATCTAGTGTAATGGATGTGTTTGCTGTTGGGATTTAAAGTCTAGTCTGTTCTGTTCACCATTTAATCAACTGGTCAATTATAATTACCAGACTTACTAAAATGTTTCATTATCAGATCTTTATTAACCAATTTTTTTGAATAATTGATGCTTAACGGACTGAAGTGCAGTATGAAATATCTGATCGTCCTTCAGATGAGAAAAGGTTGAACTAGCACAATTTGGTTTTTAGTAGGTGGAATGAATACAGCAAAGACTAAATTGACAGCTACATGAAATGATATAATACTAAATTATCATTCATCAAAGTTAAACTGGCTCCTTGTTTATTGAACTACATCTACTTTAGGAATTCTAAAGATGATCTAGAATTTTTAAGTAACTAGTTTCTATAAAATCACAACTGCATGTCATTTCTCTCCTATTATCTCCTGTATGAGACACATGCTACGGTATAATTATAGATGATTAAAATCTTTATTCAGTAGAAACTGCACCTCCACACACTGGACATGCAACACATTAGCTTCACTGTTTTTTCCACTCCGTGCATCTAGGTTATTTTGTTTCTGGTAGTAAGGGCCAGCCAGGTGACAGCTGCGGTGTTAACACACACTACCGTGATTAGAGTACCTGGGGGTTCAAATTGGGTGGTTGATGTGCTGGTCCAAAAAGCCATTGGGTTATCTTTGAAAAGCCTAAAATCCAGCCCTAAGGGATGATGGGTTGTTGGGCGAAGAGAAACTAATCGTGAGCTTGGGATCATAATCATAAAACAAGGCCAAAAGGGTTCAAATGAAAATGCGAAATACTATGAGCGTGTGTTCACTAAATAATAAGATTTTTTTTTACTACGCTACAAAATTATTATTACAAATAAGTGCAAAATATTTAGCAAAAACCTAAAACCCTAACCCTAGATTATTAAGTGTATTACTTTAAGATGCAGGTATATCTTCAGTAAAATTAAAAAAACAGGCTACATGTAATGTGAAGAGGAAAATCACAATTGATGTTGTTTAAAAACTGTGGGGGCTTGGCTGAGTCAATCACAAAGATGATGGAGCAATGAGATGGGGATGGGACAAGACAATGAAGTAAAAATAAATTGATCAACAACAGACCTGACACTCATTCAAAAACAGAAAATCAGACAAATATTTAACATGTATTAAGAGAGTTTTTTGTTTTGTTACCTTTCTCTGGGATTTTGAATGCAGGTGATGCATTTGTTGGTCGTCCAGCATCTTTGGCTTTCAAACCAGATGCAGATTCCTCACCCTCAGAGGGAGATTTCGGAGAGCCAAAAATCTTCTGAAGGCTATCAGTGCCAAAGACAAACTTAGGAGGAGACACCACCGTCTTTGAGGAGATGCCTGGACCGGGAGACCTGGGTGAACATGGCTTAATGTCGGGGAAAAGCTCTGTACGTTCTTTTGTGGTCTCCTCTAGAACAGCAATGGCTGCCTTCCCACATACAGCCGTTGCAGTCTTTGCAGATCCTGCGGCTGCAGGGTCTGGAGATGTTGGAACTACCGAGGTCACTGGAGTCAGAAGTTCCTCTTTTTCTTGAGCGACCTTGGCATCTTCAAAGACTTGTTTGAATGCGTTTGCAGTATCCTGCAGCTTGAATCTCACAGCCAACTGCTCAATATTACCCTCTCTTTCTTCAGCAAAGTCCATGGCACTCCAAACCCAGGCCTTCTCAGCTCCTTTCATAGGCTCCAGCTTCATGGCTGCTGATATCCAGTGGTTGGCACAGATCTTAAGTACCTGGTCTCTCCTCATTATCAACCTCACTTGTTTGGTGGTATAATTCTGCAAGATCTTGAGGTCCCCAATTCCCCTTTCCTTCCACTGACCCAGCTCCTTATCATAGCGATACAGTTTGGCCCTGTGACTGAAGACTACCTGCTCATTTTCCTCTCCTGTTGAAATCTCCACCAGATCAGGCAAAGGGACTACAGGCTCAAAGTACTGGCCATCCCTCTCCTCATCCTGGGTTACATCCTGCTCATCATCAGTACCAACTGACGTTCTGCTCTGGTTAGGCTTAGCAGGAGACTTAGATGGGCTGATGCCAGGTTGGAAGCTGAAGCTGAACCCACTAGTGGATTCTCCAAAGCGAAACAGGTTCTTTCTCAAGGGGCTACTAGCGATGGGAGAGGCATAGCCTGATAAGTCAGCAGTATCATCTAAAGCCTCTTCTCGTAGGTCGTAGTTATCCCACTCCAAGGTGGGACCAGTGGTTTCACTGTGAGCCTTGATTACAAGGCCTGAAACATTGCTGGATGTTGTAATATCTCCCTGTTTGTCATCATCTTTGATCTTTGGTTTCTCATCTGTCAAAAAGAATTTCAGGTCTTTCAAACCAGACTTCATTTCCTCTGCTTTCTTAATGAGATGTGCTGTCCTGCCTGTGTCAACAAGCTTGTGGGGGGTTTGCAAGGGGATGTCCAAAAGAAGTCTCTGACACTCATCAAACTTCACTTTAAAATCCTCAGCAAGCTCTGTGCTCTTAAACTTGGCAGCTAACTGTTCAAGTTTAGCATCTCCATCAGAGAAGTCATTGGCCATCCACATCCATGCTTTATCTGAGCCTGCCAAGGGCTTAAGATTCATGGTGGTGGTGATCCAGTGGTTGGCACACACCTTCAGAACCTGCTCTCTTCTCATGAGCACCCTGAGTCTGCCATTAGTGTTGTTTTTCAGGAATTTGAGGATTCCTACACCACGCTCTTTCCACTGACTGGTGTTGGTGTCAAATCTGAACAGTTTGACACGCTGAGAATAAAGAACCAGTTCATCCTCTTCTCCTGTCACCAGATCCACCTTATCAGGCATCTGAACCACTGGTTCAAATTGAATATCATCATTTTCCTCTGTTTTATACATGTCGTCATCCTCCAGTTCATTAGCGGCATTCGTCTTAGTAGGAGTTGCCTGAAACGATGAAAACATCTGTTCACCGGCTCCAGAGAAACCTTTAAAATTTGGGTCCTTCTCGCCAAACTGGAAGTCTGATCCAGACGATGTTGCCAGGTCAGCAAAACTGAATGTATTGGGTTTTCCAGTAAATAATGGGTTTTGGTCTTCTTCCGTGTGTTCTTCTGAAGGTGAAGACACATCGTGTTTCTCATTATGTTTTTCAGCAATGCTTTTAAGAAAGCTGGAGGCTGACCCTGATGGAGGAGTTGGATCATCAGTTGAGGCAGTGTCCTGAATACCAAACTTGAAGCCACCACCTGGAATGGGCATTGAGAAAGAAAAGCCTGAAGCACTTGTACTACTAGATCCAGACTGAGGAGTTTCAAACTTGAAAGAATCTGCAGGGGTTTTATCTTTGTTTTGACCAAACTGGAAAGTGCTGCTGGCTCCAAATGGAATTGTGAATCGTGTTGAAGGTGGCTGACTTGATGAACTCTTGGTTCCAAAGGCAAAGTTGAAGCTGGAGGCTGTGGGAGCAGCGTTGCTTGTGATTTTAGCGTTGGGGTTTGGTGTCTGACAAGCCACACACTTATTGGCAGAGCCATCGTTTCTCACTAGACAAGTGTCACAGTCCCAGTCCCCATCTTTTCTGGCAAACATGGTTTCTAAAGAGGGATTTTCATTTCGGGCATGGCAGGAAACACATTCAGTAGCTGATGCATCATTTCTGACCAGGCAGTCATTACAGTCCCACTGTCCGTCCTTCTTTCCAAAACCAGACCCAAATCCTGGCACTGCTGGCAGATTTGATGCTACTGGAGGCCCCTCTGTTGATTTAGCAGAAGGATTTGGGCTATTACAGGCAACACATTTGTTAGCAGAGGCTTCATTTATTACTTCGCATATATCACAATTCCACTGCCCAGGCTTCTTTCCAAACTGGGCACCAAACCCAGAGTCCACAGAACATGTAGAGGGCTTCACTTCAGGTGCATCTGCAGGCAGTGTGGTCTGTGCTTCAGCAGTTGTTTTAGCTGAGGCTTTTAGAGCATTACAAGAAACACAACTGTCTGAAGAGGCCTCATTTCTTGCAGAACATTTGTCACAGTTCCACTGCCCCGGTTTCATTCCAAACTGAGCTACAAAGCTAGAACCAAATGCACTTGATACTGTGTCAGCAGGTTTTAAGGAACTGGTCCCAAATGTAAATGAAGAGGGTACAGAAGCTCCAAAAGCACCAAATCCAGTAAATGTAGAGCCAGAACTACTGGGTTTTGATGAATCTGTCCCAAACTTGAAAGTAAATGGACTCCCTTTGGTTTCACCAGCAGCCTGAATGTCTGGTTTTGATGAAGCATTGGGATTGGCGGTTTGACATGCAACACATCGCATATCTGTGGGTTTATTTCTTACACAGCACCCACTGCATTCCCATTCACCTTGTTTAAGTCCAAATTGGGCTGCCAGTGATTCAGAATCTTTGATGCTCTCCTCTTTACTCTCTACTTGACTGTGCTCTTCTGGTGATTCGAGTACAATTTTCTGTGCTTCCTCAAACTTGGATTTGAAAAGTGATGCCTCATCTGCTGTTTTAAAGCGGATGGCCAGCTGCTCTGGCTTAGGCTCTTCATCTGCATAATCAATGGCATTCCAGACCCAGGATTTGTCAGAGCCTGCATTCGGTTTCAGTAGCATATCGGCAGTGATGTAGTGATTGGCACAAATCTTGAGGACCTGTTCCCTTCTCATTAAGAGGCGGACTTTCCCCTTAGTGCTGTGTTTTAGTATTTTAACATTGCCAATACCTCGCTCCTTCCACTCTTTTGTCTCTGTGTCAAATCGGTAAAGCTTTGCCCTGTTGCAAAACATCTCCTCCTCCTCTTCCTCACCCGTTTTCACATCTACTTTATCAGGAAGAGGTACAATGGGTTCAAAATGAGGGCCATCCTCATCCTCATCAACATGAGTGCTGTCATTGTCACTCTCTGCTGCTTTTTCTGCCTCTGGTGCATAACTGGACAACCCAAACACTGGCTTGGTAGTGTCAGAATCCCCAAATTTAAATGGCTGGTCCACTTTTCCAAACAGACTTCCAGTGCTGGTACTCTCTGCAGTATCAGCAAAGGAAAAGCTAGTAGCACTTTTGGAACCAAAGGTGAAAATGCCTGTTTGGCTAGTAGGCTGCTCCTGAGAGGGAGTCTTCTCTGGAACAGTATCTGTTTTACAGGGAATGTCAGATGTAAGGAGACCAAGCAGACTTTCACTGTGCTTAGCCTGAGAAGCAGAGAAAGTGAAATCTCCATCATTGGATTTAAAGTTGGAGTTGAATTTGAACGAAGGTGAAGGTGTTGACTGGGCAACTGCCCCTGCTCCAAAACTAGGCACTTTGGGGACTTCAGCAGGCACCTGTTGGCTGAAGGACAGCTTCCCAAAGTCCATAGGCTTCCCCTCTAAACTCTTTGGTGGCTGAACGGGGACTACAGATGGTTTGGTGAAGTAACCAGGTTCGGGTAGAGGAGGGTTAGTGGTTTGTTGGGTTACACTCTGGCCATAGTATTCTTCACTGTATGGGGAAAGAAGGCTTGTGGCTGGTGATTCAAATCGCAGAGGGGTGCCAAAGACCTGTTCTTGAGGAGGGTAAATGCAGGGTGGGGCTGTTTGCAATGGAGGGGTATGAGTGGGCGGCTGGTATGCATACATATGCTGCTGAGGTGGCATACGGTTCATACCATACACTGGGCCCTATGTAAAGAAAAGAGTAAGAATAAAAATCAAATGTGACTCAATATACTTTCAGCAAGTGAGTTAATGTTAGATGATGATGATACCTTGGTGGGGGTTACATTTGCTGCTGTGCGCAGGAGATACTGAGAGTTATAAGCTGGAGACTGGTTGTAGTACACAGAGGGGGCTGTGGTGGCAACTTGAAAAAGATACATTACATTGATGTTTAATTTACAAAATCTTTAATCCAATAATTGCTAAGAAAAATATGTAACTAAATATTCAGACATCTTTCTATGTAGTGTTCTTACCTGTTAGGGGGGCCCCATGGTACGACTGGACTGGGGTAAAAGACTCCTGTAGGCCCTCAGCCCCATAGCTCTCCCCATACATCTTATGATGAGGAGAGCCTGCATTACCTGAAGAGTTGTGCTTTAGATCATGTACTTCATTCTGCAAAACAAACAGCTTAATGAGAAGTGGCTTAACTTGAGATACAGACATACAGAACATTTAACCTGCACTAAAAGACACAAAGAATAGTGATTAAGGACAAATCAACAGTTTATACAGTGATTTTCATCACCACTCAACTGCTTTGAGTTTGAAAAAAATGAAAGCAACGTATGAATATGTGTGGTTGGGTGGAATTAGATTTTTTTTTATTATATATGTTGAATCCAGACCTTAAGGGCTTCAACTTGCTGACACAGCATCTGAAGGAGACTTTTTTGGTCTTCCACCCAATGAGGTTGTGTCTTGGGAGAAATCTGGATGACATGGGAGAGAAATGATCTATTTTTTAAATTCAATCAAAACTGATATTAAAAGGAAACATTTAAGTGTAATAGACATGGATAAAACCAGTAAACTGAACCTACCAGTCTTTTGGAAGGAGAGACTATGCTTTTGTTTGGAGAGGGAGTGGAGAACTTAATGTGGGATATTGTGGCACTGGTTTCTATGGGATGAGCAGGACTAGAGTGTGCTGGTCCTCTTTCACCCTCCTCTTTCTCCTCCTCTTCATCTATGGCCTCTCCACTCTCCCCCAGCTGCTGGTTCACATCATTCAGGAGGTCGACAACTTCCTCCATGGACACAGGGAGCTGGAACCCAAAATATAGGCAATCGAGTTCACATTCACAAGGAAAAGCCAGATGATACCCTGTGCCCACCATTTTAACTCAATTAATAAACAATGCGTCATGTTTTAGAGGTTCAAAAGACTTACCTTCTCAATGTCATCAGCATTGGCATTGTAGATCTTAGACAGATAGGTCCTGAACTTCCTCAGGAAAGTAATGCACCTGTCTTGGGTCTCCTCAACCCCATTACTGGCCTCCTCTGACAGCCGCTGGTAGATCTGCCAAGGAAATATACATCAGTTACATGCACAAGCAAAGGTGTCAGAAGCATTAACTATCAAATTAAAGGTGTCAAATGTCATATTAAAGAACTGTATGTTACTGTTTTAATTAAGTTTCTGGAAGTGTGTTTGCATCAAGGCAGCATATACTGAGGGATGCAGTGACCAAAAAAGTTTGACGACAAGTTTGAGACTTTCCACAATGGGAAAATGCACTGTTAGTGTTTGATATCAAAACTGGTGCTTATTAATAAGAGCTATATTTATGATTGTGGCAGCACTATACATGCTTTATAAGGCCACATTGAGCCAATAAGCTGTCATGAATGAGAGCTGATTGAATAAACCTGGAAAAAAGCAGATTTACCTGAGCCAAATGCCAGATGGATGACATGTTATTAATGGTTTCCAAAGTAGCGATGGCCTCCTCTGTCCTGCCCTCAATGTCAAGAAGAGCTGCGTATGCTATCTTGAATTCCTCTTCATAACCCTTCACAGAAGAAATCTGAGAAGGGAGAAAGACATGCACGTATAAATACTGGAATTCAACACGATAGACACCAGTGGGAATCAAACCCCAATCCGTTAAGACTAGTATCGAGCTCTACCTTTTGACCAACAGGACCACTCACTGATTTAAAGATATAAAAAAAACGAATATTTATTTGGTTGTTAAAAACAACCATCATAAATATAAATCAATTATAAAGTAATAGTAAGGTAAAGCACAAATATTCATAGTTCATAAATACAAAAAAGCCAGACATTGAACGAACATCTTCAGATTCAAGACAAGTGTCTCAGAATTTGAGAGGACACATGGTGCAGCTACTATTATACATTTTTAGAAAGAATAAAGACATTTTTAACCTGAATATCTTTAGAGGGAAAGTGTATGAAGAGGGGGTCGAGGGGTTCGGGTATGCCACGTCTGTTTTTGATCCTTTCAAACAGTGGGAGGACGACTTTCCAGTAGTGGACACTCCGACCGATGTACTCCTTTTGGTCGTAGTATGAGTTCACTCCATCACCCTAGGTTATTAAACATACAAAAACAGCTTGATGTCTAAGGCAGAAGGTAAAACAGTCTTATTTGCCTAATGCAGTGCAGGCAATTTTAACAAGCAAAGAAAATAAAGAGTCATTTTCATCTGTTGCAAATTCTACACAAATGAAATAGTTACACAGTGAGAGACACAGCAGACATGGTTGTTTGGACATCTTCAAGTTTGCAGTTATAGAGTGAGTGACAAGGAGCAGGTGTAAAGCATGTGTGTTTCTGCTTAGTATCTGGCAAGGTGCTGACATATCTAAGTGGTATTTTTTTCTGTGCTGAATGTCTGACACCTACATATCTAGTGCTTTTATCCTACTGCAGTCCAGTAGCAACCACACAGTATGAAAACAAGGATTTCAGATAAAGTAATCTGTTGCTATGGGTTTTATAATTAATATGACATTAAAAATCTATTTAAAGCACAAGTACAACATATTTATAATCTGTCAAGGAAACCCTACCTAAAGTCCTAACCAAAAGAGTGACATCTCTGTTGTCTAGCTGGCCACTCACTGAGCTTGTGTAAACTGCGTGTGTGCATGTGCGTGGGTGTGTGGGGGTGTACCGTCTGGCTGAGACACTGTGCCCAGTGGATGGCCAGTGCTGGTTGAAGCCCATGTTTCTCTCCGGCTCTCAGAGTGCTCAGTCCATGTTGCACAATCATTCGTAGCTTGCCAGACATGCCGGGGCTGCAAGATAATCAAAATCATCAAAATTACTGAATATTTTTACTCCTCAAGTGTGTATACTGTTTTGACCCTTTTGTGTCACTTTTTATGTTTGCAGACACCAGCTCTGGCAAAAGTGTCATAGTTGTGATTATACATACTCATAAATCTCATGATATTTAGACTCTGACACAAATAGGCTCAATGTATGTGTAGTCCCTTTGTCCACAAATTCACCTTTGCTTTCTATGATTTTCGTGAGACGTCACACCAGTATATGATTAAGGGCTATAAGAGACAGCCTAATCAGTTGAGATTTAATGTTGAAATATATTAACTTGGAATCTCCACTGTTTAAATTTTGCAGGATTGACAATGCTCAGATTATGAGACAAAAAATTAAACTTTGAAAGCCAATAACAAAATACATCCATGTTTGCATGGTGCCATGAGTGCAAAATACAAGGTCTATAGAGCAATATTTTTCTTAAGGTAAAGGGCTAAGTAATACCAATAATATATGTATTGCTTTATTTGGGGAAAACTAACTGGTTGAAGTCACATCTTATATTTTGACAGATATACTGTATGCTTGATTTAACCATCTTTGAGTTTTCAGACTCACGCTGCCCGTTGATGAATAAGGCTGTAGATGGCGTCCCACCACTCCCTCTGTCTGTCAGTAGTCAGGAGGCGAAAGAGAGGAAGTGGAAGGCAGCGAGGCTCATAGAGCTGCTGTTGGTGCTGCTGGTTCAATCCACTGCTGATTTTAGCTGTCTCCTGGAGTTGACAGTGGCTACAGAACACCACACCATACAAAAACACCTGGAGGAAAAAAGAGATGTTTACATTTTGAAAGTGCACATAGAACCACATTTTCTGAACCGATTAAGACATTGAACAGCAATCGGACAGGGTTGGATTTGGACCCAGATTTGTTGCAATCCAATATTTTAATCGTTTTAATATCTCATTGCATTATTATTTTGTTTTGTATATGAGGACAGTTGGCTTCTTGTTTACATCCAACATTGCATGTTGCTTTTGCTGGTGAATAAAATAAGTCCTGTAACAGCTACACAAGCTTTCCAAGCCACTTTGCAGTCTGAACTGCAAACATGATCTTTTTTTTTTCAAACATTTTCATCACTACATTTCTTTTGTTAAGAATCATATTCATTCAACAACATTCAAATCCCAATACATTCCAAACTGAGAGTTTTTGAAAGCTCTTGTGTAAATGCTGATAATAGGATTGATGCAAGATCAGTTTTTCTGTGATGTCCTGAACAATGGAGGTAAATGAAAAAAGAAGTGTAGACTTCTATTGAGAAAGCGTCATCCTGTGTTATGTGAACCCTACAAACCAGCTGTCACTGTTCCTCCTACCTCCAGATCCAGCAGGCAGATGGACTCTGGTGCATTTGTGTCTAGTTTGGAGGTTTCCAGGGTAAGTCTTGGAAAGAGCTGCGCTAGCCAATCTCTCAGTGCTGGTCTTTGAGCCAAAAGAGTCCACTGTAGCCCCAACCAGCTCAGATGTTGCAGGTCACCACCATGAAGAAGGATGGAGCCTAGAAAAAGACGCAACACGGTTATTAAAATGTAGGAGTACTCAGGATGCGACAATGCAATAATTACATTTGTTCGCCACTCTTTGTGATTATCTATTTACTATAATTAGTTCCAATTATCAGCTCTACAGTGTAGGCTGTGTTTTATCATGAGGGGATTTGTCTGAAGACAACTACATTTTTCTATTATATCGTCTATTTGAAAGAAAATCATGAGTCACAGTCAAATTTAATGCAAATTAAGTTACTAAATTACCCAATGTAGTTTTGTGTTTATTATTAATTGCACATTACTAAATCAATCTGGTAAAGATACATCTACATTTTTATGACAATCATTTATTTATCTGAACCTAATATAAACAAGAGAAACATCGACCTGATTTACTCAGTCAAGTAATCAGTTTTGTACCAGTGTCCCATTTAGCCAGTTGAGAGAGCTCTGGACCCATGGTGTTGATGGAATGAATGTCATCATTGGCAATAAATGAAGATCTGGCGGAGGCCTGGGGTCCAAATAGCAGGTCAAACAGTGAATCCTGACCACTGCGGTTTCCAAATGCCTCCACCACCTACAGACAGACAACAATAAATTAGTATTACCATTATGTCTCTTCGCAAGATATAAACATGGCTGTCTCTGTGTGAGGACTATGATGAAGAAATTATAAATATTGGTTTTTTTCCCCCCCTTTACAGTCATTATTCATCACTGTAAACACAAAGTAAGAGTGCATCAGAGTTCTACACATCAGATATTATTCAACTATACTGACCTCTCTAATTAAGATGGATGAATCGGTGCTCAGATTGAGCAACATGTGTCCCGCCTGACTCTGTCGATCATTGGCCAGCAGCTCTAGAAGTGGTAGGGCTGACTGGTCTCTTTTGGTCACTTTAGGCTTTGGTCTGGGGACCTGGTAGAAGAACAAACAACAAAAAGGTCAAAGACTGCATAAATGATACTATGAAGGTAGCTTTTTAAAAGTGAATGCATTGCTAGGGTAGGACCAGTATATTCAATTAACACAAAAATCCATGAAGAGAAAATAACGTGCAAAATATTGCAGGTAACATTTTTCTGTTTTACCAATCCTTCAGATTTATTAACAGGTTAACTATATTTGCTCTATCTGGCACGTCAGTACCTGGTATGCTAGCAGGTAGCACAGTGCAGCCATGTCAATGACAACCCTCCAGGTCTGCTGGCGGTCCTGAGCCAGCTTCAACAGCAGTGTTGCTGCGTGAAGGTAGAGGTGACCTCTCATCTCCACAAACACCTCACAAAGATCATCTGTGTGGCAGCTGGCAATGCTGCTCAGTGTCTGCATAGCTTGATCAAAACTGCACACAGACACACACAAGTTTATCATCCAGCACAAAGTCTCCTGCTGTTATGTTGAATCAACAAAGGTCATCTAGAAGGTGGTGAAAAAATTAAAAACCTAAAACCAAAAACCTGATTTGTACTTGAAGGTACAAATGAACTTGAAACCATAAAAAGCATGTTTGGATTTAAGGCACTTCCTGTTATTCCATTTAAAACAGAGCTGAACTTGCAGTTTCACAATCTGGACTATTCTTTTATTACTTAAGACTGGGAAACAACTAAATCCAACTTCAGCAAAACATAAAATCAGCATAATAATACAATCTAATGAATGTTTTATGGCAGGGTTCAACATTTGTTTATGTCAGTAACGTTTGGAAACACATCTAGATGTTCACCATGCAAATGGTTTCGAAAATGTATAGACATTTCACTTTAAACTGAATTGTGACCAGAAGTGTAAAAATAACAAATTAACTGCTTAAATATTAATACATGAACATAGTGAATTTTAGGGGAGATCAACCCCAAGTCCAAAAATGAGAATTAAGTCGACTTTAGGTTTAAATTTGTTTATACAGATAAAGCTTCTCTACAGAGCATTTAGGCTGGTGTTACCAGTGTGATAAGGCTTTCAGACACATACAGATGACATAACTAACTACTGCTGTGCCTACTACCAGCTCTATTAAAGAGACATCCAATCCATTTGTTTAATTTTCACATATCAGTGATAAGATTAATGAGTCAGCCTACAAACTTGTTATGATAAAGCTGGCAGCAACTGAGGTTAACGCATCAAATCTAAAACATTTTCTGTCACATTTTTAAGTTAAAATGTAATGTTTTTTATAACCAGGTGTAAAACATTCCCCATTGTTGCATCCCTTGAGTGTGTGTACAACACCATAAGACCTCAACACGACCTACCTTTTGAGTGCATCACAGCTGGGTTGCACACTGCTCTCAGACAGTGTGATTCTCAGCAGGTTGCAGTGGGCCAATAGAAGGTCCCTCTGGAGACGCCGACACATCTTTTCATTACTAGAAACACTGGCCTGAGCCAAATATTCCTGGAAAAAAAATGTAAAACATTTTAAACAATATTTTGAAATTGAACCGTTAGAAGTTAGGTACAAAGCTTTCAAAAAAGTATGTACTAAACTATAAACTGTAACTACTAAGCTTCTATATTTGAGTCCATGCTCACCTGCAGTGTGCGCACCACCACTGTGTACCAGTCCAGACTGTGGCTTAGCATGCCCTTTTTCTCAGCAGCGAGGCAATGCTTGACAGCTTCATCCAGTCGACCATCCTGACAGAAGAGCTGAACCAGCTTTACGTTCACATGTGCATCACCAGGCCTTGCTGCCAGCTCAGCCTGGAGGAGGTCAAACAACCGGTTCCAACCCTGCTGACCCTGACGACTCAACAGGCGCTCCTGCATAAAGTGGCACAAATAAACCAAAAATAATCAGCATTGCATCCCCTCCACCTTTGTTTAATGGACACCTCAGTGTTTTCTATTACCTATGGCTGCCTGCTTGTTTACTTTGTCTGCCACAGTTTCATAACGACCCAACTCTTTTTAAACTTCTCATAATAACGCTGTGCATCTTTTACTCCTCTAACAAACACACTGACCTGTCAGACATTGGCCTGTCAGACCAACGGCAGCATCGTGAAAAATCCTGCTGTTTTTTTTAACTGTCTTGTAGGCATTCAGAACTTGCTATAACATCAATATTGAGGGAGTAAACAAAATTTGGCCTCTGTGTACTCCCTTCATTCTTGTGCGCAAGAGAGTGTACTGTGTGTGTTTACAATAATGAAAGCTGTGAATATAGAAAGTTAAGAATTTATTTAGGACAATGATGAAAGGCACAGATTTAAAAAAATGGTATTAGTTGAGTTGATGAGATGGCTGACAGATACAGAGTCTAACAGAGCTCTTACTAGAGATCCAGAAGAAAAGAAGCCTTACCTTCAGGTTGAAGACAGCAGGGTTTCCTGGCAGCAGCTTTGCAGCTTTCTCCACCCAGAATTCTGCTCTGCTATCACATTCCTCCTGACTGACCAGTAACTCAGCCACCTTCAACACCAGGTCCCTCTGGGCTGGGTTCAAGTCCACTGATCGCTACAGACATACAGAGGTGAAAGCATCTTAAGATCAATTTTTTTATAAAGCTTTCAGACATGTGATAGATCTATGGCTTAGCTTTAAAATGAAACAAGATTTTAGTCATCTGAAAACTTCATTAAAAAACTGTTGCTGGTCATTGGACATCAGCTGAGTGGGCGGCCCATCATATGTGGCAGAGGGTGCGTTTTCGTTCACACAGTAAAGAGAATGTGGCCCCCTGCGTCCAAAACCACCTCCAAATGTGGTCTGAGCGATCAGGTCTCAAATGCGTCCTTAATGAGTCTCGTGTGCATTCAGACCTGTACTCCGAGTTGTCCACTTATAAGATCACTCATAATGAATGTTAATACCCTGGTCTGGACAGGGTCAATGACACTTTCACATTTGGACAATAGTAACTGCTCCGAACAACAAACCCTGGAAATAGTTAAAAATGCAGGGTATGTGGCAGACTTTCATCATTCTCACTTTTAAACATTTGGGCAAAACCATACACTGCAAGAAGCACAAAATACGATGCATTGTTTTAGGGGGAGGCCACTTTCCTCTGCACTTCTTTCTCAGTGATGCTTTTCATACCTTGTAACATCCTACTGCCTTGCAGATGTCTCCCTCTCTCTCGTAGAGCTGTCCGAGGAATTTGTGTGCTTTAGGATCCCTCTGCTGGACTTTGAGATATTCTGACACATGTCTAGGAAGGGATGGCAGACACAAGATTAGTGTTAATGTAACAGAAACCTCTTGAGAAACTATAAACTATCCAGTCAACACCAGGGACACAAACGTACTTACCTTTTAGCAAGCTCGTATTCCTTTGCTTCAAAATACAATTTAGCAAATAAAAACCCCTTGACTGGCTTCTGTGGAAAAACAATATTGAAGAAGAGTGTAAGGGAAGCAACAATATTTATAGACATTTTGTATCAGTGTTTTCTCACTTAACTAATAAAATATGAATATAAATACGATCACAATTACAAGTTTTATAAACAACATGTCTGCTAGTTGTCCACCAGACTCGGCTAGAGTTGCTGACTTGTCCTTGGTTGAATACTTGTATGAGTAATTGTTTCTTTAGATTTTGTGGCAGCAGGAAATGTAATACTGTACCTTCGCTTAGATGGTAACAAGTACTCAGTTTTACAATCTACGTATAAAACTAACATGAACACAAGTTAGCTGAGTACACGCAGGTTAAAAGGGGAACAGGGGCTTTGTTGTTCTGGACATGTCTAACTAACTTCACAAGCTGTAGCTAGCTAGACGGTGTGACGGCTAACTAGCAGGGCTAATCGGCTAGCACAACTCCATAACCCCGTGCCGCGCATTTCAGAAAGGGAGGACGCGACGAGGTGCTCACATGCCGGTTAGCCTACATCCGCGGGGCGGCTAACGAAGCTAACACCGAACACAGGAGATTCAAACTGGGACTGATCAACGCGTACTAGCACGATTCAAAAATACAGCTAACGTTCGTTTGAGCGGGTGTTCAGGCTGACACATGCTGGCTTACGGCAGCGGCTCGCTAGCGTTAGCCGCCGGCTCGACTTACCTCTTTGAGCGAGGGAGAGGAACTCTGTACGGAGGAGACGTAACGGTCCACTTCAGCCTTACTCCGCCGCATGGCTTCTCAACACGGCCGCCGCTACAGCCGCGCACTAATGTTCATGTAACACCAGAGAGTCATCAAGTGTTTAAAAATGTGCTGCGGGTCCTCTGACACTTCTTCACGTCAACTACCCGTGACGACACTGCGCAGGCGCCCCACCGTCAACGACGGAGGGGTAAGGCTTCCTTGAATCGATCCCCTTGGCCAATGAGAACTGAGTATTCCTATGACGCACGTTTATTTTGACGAAGTGTTGGGTTTGACCCATAGACTGTATATAAAGAGGTTTGACCCAAATGTCCCTGCACGTAAATACAAGATCAAAATACAACTCGATTTATTTCATATATGTTTCATAGTAGGACATACACACACTAGAGGTGAAAATCAATTCTGTTTTTATTTTTTATGTGCTATAATACGATTTATATGCAACATGTGCAATATAACTGTTTTTTCATCATATTATTGTCATATCCCATATTTCTTACTCTTCTTTTATCATTACGTCTTACAGACACTTTTGTTTCTGTAGTATTAGTTTTACCGTCTCATGTAACTTTTACATTCATTTCTTTTTATTCTTTATTATCTTGTTATTCCTGATTGGCACTGGTTCTGCTTTGCTCTGTATACACTTTATACTTTTACTTAATTGACAATTCACTTATATTTGAATCATACTCTCTTGTTTTATTAGTAGGCAAACTTACTTGGCCATTTTAGGACAGAGACTACAAGTAGAGTATGTGTTAAGATGAATAAAAGCAGTCATTTCCTCTGTGCATTATACATCTGTCCTGGGGGAAAAACCAAAATGCTTAATTTTTTCAACTAATGGTATTTTAGCTCAAGCTTGAATGTGTTAGTTTCATTGAAGGACAGTCAAAAACAAATACCTGCACCAATATTTAGAAACAATATATAATCAAACTAATTTAAGGCCAATACTTACTATAGACTTGATTGTTTACATGTATTTAATCAAAGCAAACTCTACAGCCACGTATGTTGGTCACTAACTGCAGGAATCTTAATGGATATCTGTCATACACACACGAAACTCCTTCACCCACTCATGATGTCATGTGACACACTGAGAGGCTTCAGGAAATGAAACTTAAAAACACGACTGAGTGCACAACATTGACATACATTTATTCAGAATAATTGATAGAATTAACTTAGATATACTGAAAAATAACATTCCATTCAAGTCTAGAACATGCACTTTGGTGTGTTTACATAGAGAAACATTGTCTTTGGGAAAAGCATTGTGAAGATAAAATACAATGTAAGAGCGGCAGAGTCATCTCAGTCACCCAGGTAGTAAGATATCAAATTAAACTACCTTTTGGACTCTTTATTATTGGAGCTGAAGTTCTGCTTTACAACAATCAATCAGATGGAAAGTGTTACCCCTAAGTGACATACTGTATGTTGTGGTTTAGGACTAACAGGCTTTTGTGGAATGTGTCTTTCTTTACATGAAAGAAAAGCTTTCTATGATAAAATACAGCTCGAGGGAAACCTAGTGAAATACGGAAATGATTCTTTCCCCATTCACAACAGTTTTTTTCTTTGATAAGAGGGTCTGAGCCCCGAGGAAGTCGGTACACCTTCCTAAGAGGATCACTTTCTCTGGATTACAAACACACACACACATGTTGTTACAGCTGACATTACTCCCACATCCGGTCTCAGCACATGCCACAGGCTATCATGTTGTAACACACACAAACACACGCGCAGTTAGTTACCAGTTGTCATGAAAATCAAAGCTGTCACTGTGCAGTTCAGTATTTGTTGACAGTGTGTCAGAGAAGTTGCTTCATGTACACAGCCATCTTTAAGCTGGTGTTGAACTGGATTGGATTACTTCTGAAAGGTGTTTCTAATATTCTTTGACAATCATCTATTAACTGTAACTGACAGTGGATAAAACAAAAACTGTTAGAATGTAGTTTTAGATTGTACAAGTGAACTTAATAAACGTGAAACACTTTAAATACGACTTTCCACTTGTTTTGTATTGTTTCAGATATAAAATGCATATATAGTATGTAACGAGGCAATCCAACATAGTGCAGATAATGGTTTAGTCCATCACTACAGCATCAAGGAGGGCACAGTGTGGTGTCTTTAGACCATCAAATGTCAATTTTATAGAACTAAAAATAAACGTATTTAGCATATTACAGGAAATACAAGTTAGTAATACATAAAAGAATACAAGTTGGTGGAAAACATGACATATAAGATATAATATTATATACACATCGAGTACAATTGTGTTTTTTTCCATCTGTCTTTGGCTTTATATGATATGAGTATCAGTAACTTATGGTAACAGGAGTCAAACAGGAGACGCATTTTTTGGCATCGAGACAAGTTGGCAAACTGGTCAACACTGTGTTAAGGAGATCAATTACCCTCATGTGTCAATGTTCTCTTAAAGTTCATGATACTACAAATACAGGACCATTGTCAGGTGTGTTTAGGTTTATATATACTGGTATGTATAGCAGTGAAAGAAGGGAAGCATGTGAATAATGAACAGTGCAGTAACTGAGCTGAACAGGTTAAAGTCAACCGAGACCAATAATGTAAGCCTGTCAGCTCATGAAATGATCCTCAGTGCTTTAAAGCTGTGACTGAGAGGACAAAAAAGTGTTTCACTGAAATAACCAACCTAAATTTAAAATACCAATGATATCAACCACATAATCTCTTATCTCTTTAACGATTGTCGCTTTGGGAAATGTGACCTTTTCCATGTGAGGCCACCTCAGGGTCTCATCTTTCTCTCCTGCCTGCGGCTGGACCATTTGTTCACTTGCGTGCCACAGTTTCGGACAGTTTCTTCAGTCTCTTCTTCAGCTCCAGAGGGAATTTCTCATAGCACTTCTTACATACTGGCTTCATATCAAACTCCACAAACTTGTTCCTGTAGGAGAGAGAAGAACAAGTTGGAGGTGAGACTTTCACTCCAAGTATGTACATATTTGTGCCAATACTGTGAAAACTGAATAACGTGTTTTTTGTTTGTTTTATAGAAACTTAGAATATAATTTTAATATAACATATTCTATTTCAGGTTGCCTTGTAAAAACTGGCTGGGGAAGGACACCCTCTGGTTTACTTACATTATTTTGTCTGTTGATCATCACAGTCGCTTTCAAACAAATACACATATTAAAAGGTTGTTTTTGGTCCTGTTTGTTCGTATGTTAGCTAAAAAGAATACCCAACCCATAATTTGATCATAGATTTTGTCTTTGTACAGATGCATGACTAAGATCTCTGACAACTATAGCTGGGATATATATTTTGAAGAATCACATGTGCTCACATATCCTGATACACTCACTATATGCACTGATATAGATCTACATACAGACTAGATTTTTCTGCATACATTCTGTGATTAACACATTTTGAGATCTGTGAAGCTTCTGCAGAATTACAGTTTTTGCTCTATGAGTGGCTCCTGGTTGTTTTCTGAATTGAATGCCTTTAATTCCACCGTCCGGCTCTCTAAACCTTTCCCCCAAGCTGCCCCTGGATGAACTTCCCTCCCAAAGCAGATAATCACTGGCAGGACCAGGGCATGTGTCCAACTCATACGGTTGCAGCCAGAATCTGCCGGAAGTGATTCAGGTTTTACACATTACACCCAGACAGACCAGGAGCCCCAAGAAACAAAGCTGCCCCTTCACCATGTGACCAATCTAATTTCCTTGTTTGCATAGCAGAGGTTACAATAGTGTCCAGCCTTTATCTTGACTAGTGTTTGTGGATGAGAGGTTGTGAAATGTTTCCAGTGTTAGGTCACACAAATTAGTCCAGTCAGTGCATATTCACTTTACTGCACCATCTTTGAAATGTGATGAAAATGACAGAAGAATAAAAACTTAAAGGAAGAAAGGTAGAAACTGACCAAAGGAAGAACAGTGGAAATGAGAAGAAAGAAGAAAGAGAGGATCACAGGCACATGGGTATCAAATTCTTCTTCTTCTTGTCTTTTGAGTCACGTTCTCGCTTGGCAAGTCGGCGCTTCATGTCATCTGGCAGGCGTTCATTGCAGTGTTTACACACCGGTTTCAGATCCACCTCCACAAACTTATCCCTGACAGAGCAGGGAGGAATGGGAGAGAGGTGTGAAAGGGAGGGGAAAAGAGGAGGTAGGGCAGTTGGCGAGGAGGAGGAGAGCAACATTAAGGAGGGAAGAAAACAGAAGAATGAGAAGGGAAAGATAAGAGGTTGGAGAGAGGACAGGGGAGGGAGAGGTGGCACAAGGGGATGTGTACAGGACGACAAAAAAGTGGGACGACACAAGATTGAAAGAGAAAGGTGAAAAAATCAGGAATGGACAGATGTGAAAAACAGCAGCAGATTGTCCCAAACGCAGCGTAATTGTGAAAGACAAACATGATAAGCAGCAAAGACAACTTGTGAATTCTTGTCAGTCAGAGTAAAATTAACAATGAATAAGTGCACAATCCAGGGTAAACGTGTGGGTGTGACACACATACCACTCCACAGTGACGTTACTTAGCATGGCTCTTATTTAGACTCTACTTACTTGAGGGTGAGCTTGGTGTTGCAGGTGGAGCAGGCGAAACAGTTGACACACCAGGCCTTGTTCAGAGCAGACACCACTGAAGCAAAAACACAATCACATGAGACACTGATCCAGATGACTAACATATGACAACAGAGACTCGTTTTCTCAATATTTAATGTACAATATGTAACTTCAGTCATGAGGGGTCTCTCAATCAAAACCGTAACAAAAGACCTATAGTGTCTGATAGTGTCGTGAAGCAGAGTGGGATCATGGGACTTGTTGTCTTAACCACTATTATAGAAAGATCTACCTGACGCGACTTAGACACAAATCATGTTTATGGATGGGAATTCATGTTTTAGTCACTTTAAGCAGTGAACAGCAATTAATAATCATGGCGAATACAAACAGTGGAAGAAAAAACTGCATATGTAATACATAACTTCTTTATTTTTGAATAACTTTAACTTTCATATTTATTTTCAATGTAAATGAGTCTTCTCACCATCTCCTTCAATTACGCGGTTGCAGTGGTAGCAGACGTCTCCAAACAGCTGAGCGTGTCGAGGGGAGAGAAACACAGAGGGTGAGTATTGACACACGAGTTGTATCTAATGAAATAATGCAACACAATAACTTCACCACAGCTAAAATAACACTGTGCACTCATACGCCATGCAAACAAACAGGCTACACAGGAGTTTTAAAACTTGTGTTGTGTTGAGTTCCTCAGTTGGTTAAAAGTCTATTCTATGTGTGTAACGTAAATATTCCCAGCACAGTTGATTGTTACCTGGTTGTAGTGTGTTTCGCAGTAGGCCAGGCCCTTGCGTTCGTAGTGACGGTGTCCCAGGAACGGTTTCTCACACTTAGCACACACAAAATGCTGCAAACAAACCCATGGCCAAGCACACATGGTTAGCACAGCCACAGTCAGTACATTATCAAATTCAAACCATGTCACAGGCAACAGCACAGTCTTTAGACATTTTATCAGATCAGCCCGGATGTCTTGTTACTGCGTCCACACCTAATCTAGAGAGTAGAGAAGATGAACAGCATAACGACCTCCAGAGGGCGCACTAGTCTGCTTTCTTTTTTTATGTGACTATTGTAAACCTGACAAGCTGAAATCTGTAAAACTTGCATATACAGATAAAATAAGTTAAACAGGAATAGAAAAAAGTTTGAATGTTTTCCATCACAGGTGGCTTTCTTTTTTGTGACATTGAATGGATTAATACTTATAACATAATACAAATGTTGAATAGTGGAAAAACTGGATTTAAAATAAGACATAACTGAGACAAAAGGCAATCCAGCCTGTAGCTGTCAATACATCATAATCAGATGGACAGACAGATGGAGGACTTTTTGATAAAAGATCAATTTTGAAGTTTTATATTAGTGCAAATATATAAAGGCTGGTAGATTGAGCCAGGCAAGGGGAGGCGAGACACAGGGCAGCAGTCAGCGACGGGCCGATCCTTAATCCCCTCACCATGTCAAAGTGTCTCTCACAATAGGCGCGACCACCTCGCTCATAAAATGGGTGGCCCTGAAATGGGCGCTCACACACAGTGCACACGTGATGCTACACGTGGACAGGAGAGGACAGGAAAAATGTGAAATGACAGAAGAGAAGATAAAGATGCAGATTATGGTGGAATGATGCCACAGAAAACTACAATTATCGTATGCCTCTGCCAACCAGTGCAGTTTTTATGTTTATACATATTTCTACATGCTTTTTTTCCCTAGATTTATATTACTGGCTATCGCCGACGCGGGGACATTAAATAATACAGAAACAAAGAGCAGATAATAGAGGAATGATGATGATGATGATGTACACAGCTCAGAGAAGAAAACACTGAACCTCACTGTGGAGATAAAGCTGGGAAAAGTATGAGTCACACATACACATACATGACATTTTAAAGATCAGATCAGATTAAATGAAAAGTAAAATGAATGACAGAAAAACAATCTCCATAAAAACATGGTGAATAAGAAGCTATTTCACCAACTCAATTTCTACAAAGTATAGTGCATTTCAGCAGGAAATCTATTTAATAAAATTCTGCAAGACCTAAACCTCTTATTCTCAAAACAGGCAGTTCCCTTCCAAAATCTGAAAACACATTTCTTTTAATTACATTTTCTGAATATGAATGTAAAATCAAGAAGTAGGAAATTTCCTTTGCTCAGACTGAATTTGTTTCTAAAAGTTGACAGTTTAATACCGCACCTCCACATGCCACTGCTTGCCCATGGCATTGACCACACGGCCCTCGATGGGTCTCCGACAGGCTCCGCAGATGGGGACACCCATCTTGTCGTGGCAAGGCAGACAGTAGAGCTCCCCCTTCAGCTCCCTGGCATCTGCGGTCAGCTCCTTACTGCAGACACAGAGGGAAATAACATCACATCCCTTATCAAAATCATTTTTTCCCAAAATAAACATTTCTTTATGCATTTGGTATAGTATAATAATGCCAAATGTACATTTATGTAAAAACAAGAAAACATGGAAAAAACAAAACAAAACCGTTTTCATATAACTTGTCATAACACACATTTAGATCACCTCATGGAACTTGTTTTACAGTTACATATTTTGTCCAGCAGAGGGCACTATGAAGTTTTTGTGGTAGACAGGTAGAGCTCTGTGGCTGAGACTGCACTTTCAACCCAACTGTTAGATATCTGTTGTGGTTAGTTAATCATTTTTTATTTTTATCAGAGAAGAGACTTGAAACTATTGTTTCTGTTGTAATAATAAACCTCACAGAAGAATCATCACTGCACACCAAAGTGTGAAACGGACATTGACATAAAAGACCTCTGTCTGCATGTGGGAACAAAAAGTCTAGCGAACAATCACGATGTGAGTGAAGTGACTGACAAGGTTGATTGTGTGTGTGTGTGTGTGTGTGTGTGTGTGTGTGTGTGTGTGTGTGTGTGTGTGTGTGTGTGTTTACCCGCAGTTGTTGCAGTTGAAGTGATCAGGGTGGTAGGGGTCATTCTTGAACAGTAGAGGCTGCTCCTCAATAATAGCGTGACACTTCTGACAGATGTACTTGCCGAGGCCCCGAGCTTTCTCTCTGTTGTGACACGGGCGACACAAGTGCCTGAAGAGAGAGAGAGAGAGGAACACACACATACAGACAGAGAGATTATCCTTTATCCTCCAGCTCATGTTTCTACAGCATTCAGTACATAATCATCATTTTTCTGTATCTGCTTATAATCCACAACAGGAAACTACAGTACTTCTCTCTTAGACACTGTCTGTCCCCTGCTTTGACACTGACATCAGCACCAGATAAAACAACCTTGTACAAGATAAAAACTGCTGTGATTACACACATATCAGAAGTGAACAGTAGATGGTTGTAGAGGGACTGACCTTCCAGCGTTCTTTACAAAACCCACATCGGCCAGCACGGCCTGGCAGATATCACAACAGAAACAGTCCGGGTGCCAGCTGTTGTTCATGGCCTTGATCACGCGGCCGATGATGAATTCACCTGAAAAGAACAACAGAGTATTAAGAACTTGATCATTATAAAACATGTAATTCTATATTTGTGTTATTGATGCTATACTAGGCTGCATATCCTTATGACCCTGCACAGGTCGGAGCAGGAAATGAAAATGTACTTTTACTGCAGTTCCTACACTTACCACACTGGTGGCAGCAGGGAGCGAAGAGCATCTGGAAGTCATGTTCACAGTATTTCCTGCCTTCAAACTGCCAACAGAATTCAAACCATTGTAAACAGTTAATTAAAGCACACAAACGTAAACTGCAATCATTAATTTACAGTTCATAAAATAACAAAATCAAGCAGCTAAAAAATGAGTCAATGTATGATTTTTTTTTCTCAGAGGCCTGGCAATTTAAATTGAGGGATTTGTTGTACACTTTAGAAAACCTTTTGTGTTGATGAACAAAACTCAAAACAACAGCACAACAACAGCTACACATTTAGAGACTATGTATGAAGAGAACTATACATTATGAAATATGGTGAAGGTTGTCTCTATACAGCACAACTTAATGTGTTATCAACTCCAAACAAAACGTAGGTTTCAGTCAAATGACATTTTAATAAGGTGAAGATTTCTTACTCTCATAAATACTTCAATCTATTTTGTCCATCTGGTTACGAAATACAGACATTTACTGCGTAGGTTTAAAAGCTCCAATCAATCTGACAAGAGGGGTGACTGTGTGTGAACGGTTGATCTGTCTTGAATCTTCCTTTGTGTATCAATGTGCACCACAACATGCAGATGTGGGTTTGAATATCTAAATCACATGCCCTGAGTCACAAGTCCCCATGTGATCCCACTCTGAGCCAACATGGCTTCACATCTGCTGCACAAGAGAACGACTTAATAGAATGAGTGTAGTGAGGACATGATTTAGCAGAACGCCTAGATTCTACTTCACCACAGATGATGATAAATAGCTCCCGATTTGAATGCAGCTGTGAATGTTTGTGCGTGACCGTGATATACAAACATTTTCTTTCTTCCAACAATTGACTGATGTTTATTCATAGCAGTAAAATAAATAATTAAAAAGAATGTGCCTATGTGTCTTTAGATGCTTATATTGATCGGAGCACTACAGACACCCTATCTTTGATAAACTGACTGAACATCAAGAGCATCAGTTCTCCAGAGAAACATCTGGCCTTGTGTCACGGCTGGTGAGCAAACAGGTTACTGGAAATGGGCTTCCAATAATTCAATAATGCATTAAGGCCGTGCTCAGCCCTCTTTATTTACCTCAACAGGACTGTGTGTTTAAATCTTTTGTCTAAGGGATGTGCACTGATGACGGCCTTGATCTAAACACTGGTTTTACTGCCAGTAAATTAGAGAGCCACTTCATTAACCCTCATTTTAAAAAATAGTTCTTTCTCAACATAGTTGTATTGCATTGGGTTCTTCATCATGGCAAAGTGACAATCAAAGATAAAGCTGTTTGTCGACTTGGGTAGCGTGTAAAACATTTTTAACCTTGATTTGTTGGAAACAGTTAGAGCCGTACTCTGGACTGGTCAAGGCAATATTACTTTTTGAAGTCAAGGTCTAAACCCTTTGCAATCCTTTGTTTACTAAAACTGATTGTCATGAAAAAAATGCATCACACATCATTCTTTGGATTATTATTCTGAAATCTTAGGACAAAGCTGTACCTCATAGAAGAGTCCCTCGGGGAACTGTTGGAAACACTGGGCGCACACAAAGCACTGCTCATGGTAAAGTTCCCCGTTACTGTTCACGATCTTCTCTGCCGGGGCAAAGCCACTCTTACAGCGCTCGCACATTGCGTTGGCCAGAGCGTTGGCCATGTTGCTGAAAAGAAAAGGAAAATCATATTCAGGATGAAAATTTACTTACACAGTCAAAGTCTATATACAGGGAAATACATATGAAATACATGTAAAATGTACACAGGTAAAACACAGAAAGTAGAAGCAGTGAGTGTGATATTTACAGATAAATGAACCAATAAATGAAGCATAAAATGAAATTTACTGCAAGAGGCTTTGAAAGTAGGATTTAAATGTTACTGCTGATTTACTACAGTACATATTTAGTGTTTAAATATAACAGGATTTGTCTCTTTAATACTCTTATTTAATGTTGAATGTCCATTGAAAATGTTTTAAGGTATTTGTCTCTGGGTCATGTCAGCACACAAGTAACAGCAAATATCTTGATATGTAGAAAGCCATGTTCCCCCAGTCAGGAGAACAGCTGGATGATGTACTCAGGAACAGGAGACAGGAGAGTAGAGAGGGGAAAATGTTATGCAAGAACACACACACACACACACACACACACACACACACACACACACACACGCATCTTCGTTTATTTTGGATCTATTGCTCAGGGTGTGTGAATCAGTCAAGTGAAACCTACGTGTTTGTATAAGAGATGAAGTTACTGTTCTGAACTGCACTGAGCTCACAAAGATATGGTTCAGTATCATATAACAAAAACATCATGACATATGAAGTTAATACCGGCATTTCATAAAACAATCACAAAGTTGTCATTCTGACTCTCCCAAACATGACCAATATTTTGACAAAGCAGAGCCCCAGGCTTTTATTTGGAGGTATTGTTGCCAAATCCTGCAGAACGAATGTGGTCACACCCAAGAACCTGCCACAGTGCTTCAAGAAAAAGTGTTTCTTCATTTATAGCCCTGTCTCTGCTCACTGTCAAGTTTGTTCTTCAAAAACAAAAACTGGAATCCTTTATAAACATGAAGCATATACTTCTTACTGGACATTGATTATTGGTTTAGAGAAAAAACATGATGGATATGGAACAAGTTTCTATCATCTCCTGATCTACAGTATATCATCGTCCTGCCCCAAAACCACTTCTAGTATAGATTTATGTTTAAGCTGAACCATTGGGCTAATTTCAGGATTATTCGCTCATTATAAGAATGACTCCAAAAGAAAAAATGATCAAACTTCTCAAAACCAAACACAAGCAGCCAAAACTGCTTCAAACGAATTATTTAAAGATGTGCCACAATAAAAACACTGCTTAATACTTTGGAATTAAATCAGATCAAAAAGACATAGATTTCAAAATAGTAAAAAAAAAGAAAAGACGAAGAAGAAGAAGAAGAGAGAATGGTGGGACCATACTGGCTACTCTGCTTTGTTTGAAATGTCAGAATACCACAGTGTATCCAGGCAACACACACACACACACACACACACACACACACACACACACACACACACACAGAGCTTCCATTTGAGTCAATTTCTCAAATACATTGATAATATACTGTTCTGAGCGTCTGAGCTGATATCACACACACAGACAGCCCTGCCCTGTCCAAATTGTTTTTGAGAGGAAGTGATACATCCCTTAAGCATTTCCACCGTCATATCTGCCTCCCGCACCCTGCATGAGTTAGAGACCAGCCTATACAACTGACAGTACTGTGCTGAGTCTCTCTCTGCACTTTGTCCTGGCTGCCTGTGAACTGGGCCATGGAGGTTTTTATCAGCGTTTATTTCTTTGTTAGTTGGCAGGATTACGGAATAACTACTGGACAGATTACCACGGAACTTGGTGGGAGGGTGAGGTATGGGTCAGGGGAGACTTGAGGGGTTTTTAAAAAATGTTCCTTGATTTTCTCCTCGGTGGAGGTATGCACTCTAGTGAGTGCCATTATAGTTTCTATAGAAATCTTCAAAAATATGAATTCATACTTTCAGCTTCAATTGGTTATACCTTGCTTGTCTCGTATGTGCTGATTACACAGTCAGTTTTAAGACTTGTTGCTGTAGACTTGTTCAAGACAGAAGAAGACAAGAGTGCACTGTGACTATAAATGGAGTCTGGTCTTGAGTAAAGGGAAAAGGATGCAGACTATCACTTTTGTTATGAATACACTCTGTTCCCTCCACTCACCCTCCTCTGGTCCCTCCGTTTCTTTTTTTTTCTTTTCTTTTCTAATTCATTTCCCCATCCTGACTGTTTATAAATGCATTGACTAAATATTTTAAATAACCCCACCAACAATGGCCTTCTAATCTGTCCACATTTCCATATTTGTCCGAAACAATTCACACAAATTTAAATTATTTTCAACAAACAAAGTCATGGAAACCTGGGACCCAGAAATTATTACCAGATGTCTGAAATTCAGTCTGAACTAAGTTGAAAAAAAAATGCCTTCTCATGTTCTAAACTATTTTTGACTGAACCCATGTCTTCAAATCTTAGGAACCAAAAAAGTATTACTGACATCTGTTGGACATTTTAGTAATTTTTGTGTACATACAAGGGAATCCACATGCTATATGTATATAAACTCAATTTGTATTAATTGACATAGACCAGGTTATGTGTCTGAGTATAACATCTACCAAAGATCAGTTTTTGAGAAAAGAAATGAGTCTGCCGATGTTTTTTTATGTACTAACACTAGGACAGTGCTCTCACTTAATCATTTTATCTTATATTCACTCCAGAGGTGGCTGCTCTCTTATCCCAGCCACGAACAAAGAAGGGAGCGAGGACCCACCAATACATGCACTCAACCAATCTGGAATCAGTCTCAGCAGTCAATCATGACATTTAACTGTATCAGCAAAGTAATTTAAATCAATCTTACTTGAAAAAAGACTGCTCAAACTTATCACTGTGATAAGAACTACTTCAAGTGACAAAAAAACATCTTTATTTTAAAAAATTGTTGTGGGCTTTGACTTTTTAGTTTGGTTCATGTCCCACTAACATGGAGGAGGCAGCTTTAAGACCTATATTGCAGAAAGTCAGCTGGTGTCTATCAGGACACTTGGGTTTACTTTTGAGGAGCCGTGGTGTCATCCATCTTTATATACGGTCTATAAGCCCACCTCAGCTCTGGCCTCTTGACCCAAATTTGGATTTATTTTAGTCTCTAGTACCTGATGATCCTGAGACAGAAAACTGAGGCCAGATCAGTCAGTATGTATATTTAGCTTCCCTGCTCCTCATGCACACATACTTGTAATACCAGTTGGCATATTCTACTTTGCATTACAACTCCCCCCTTGGCACAAAAATAGCCCTTCCTGTGCGCCCCCTCATGTGGCACACTGAGCAATCCCTGCACAAACAGGACACCTAAGGCAGCTTAAGCCAGTCAAACTGTCTGGTAAGACCCAGGTACTAGGACATTAGAATTCTTCACATTCTGTAACACTGTAATACGCTCAGAGAACACAATATAATACAATGTGAGCATATGACCAAATTGGTTCAATGATCAAATTGTTGTGAAAATTTACAGTTGACAATGCACCAGAAATTAAGTGTTCGGGTTCGAAAGGATGCTGATGATGATGCCAGAGAATGATACAGACTCTGTAACAGCACTTTCTTGTATATCTGTAGACATCCTCATGCAATACTTTGATTGGTCAACAACTCTTTTAAAAGAGGTGCAGGTTTTACTCATGGAGGAACGTTTTAATACCACACTCTTTGGTAAGACATCTCATATATAACACAGTTATAAAACACATATTCACTTAGCAAATTCCATTGTCATTGTGATCTGTGCACACCGTTACTTTGGTTGAAAACTGAACTGTGATCTAACCCCTGTCCACTGCACTGTGTACTTACAAGCGAGCGTAAAAATCACAAAACTCCTTATATACTTTGACATCACTCTTGCGCCTCTGAGACTTGGACACTGGGACCTCCGCCTCCCCTCCGTCCTGAAGCCTCTGGTGGTAACCATTCGTCTCCCCATGAGGAATATGGTCCAGGACTTCACTATCCTCAGGTATTGACGGTGGCAGGGCATGACCGTTCATCTCCATACTCAGCTTCAACAGTTCGAATTAAGTGCAAAGATCCAGCTAACACCTGTATGAATGTAACAACTCCAAATAATAAAAGGCCTCTATGCTGGTTCAGTGTTAGTGTCCAGTAAAGAGAGGAGGTATCCAGAAAGCAGTGGGAGCTGTAATCCACAGAACAAGGAGACAGAACCGCTGATCGGACTGCACTGAGTGTACTCTCTTCCTCCCTCTCACACACACCCTCTCTCACAGACACACTCCCTCTTTCCCTTATTCCCACATCAACACACACATGCACACACACACGCACACACATGCGCGCGCACACACGCACACACACACACACACACACACACACACACACACACACACACACACACACACACACTTAGTCTCCCCTCCTGTCACACTGGCCGTCTATTCCTGGGCAGGTTACTGGAATTAAAGAGCCCACCCTGATGCCTGTCCAGACAGAGGTCACCGACACACACACACACACACTTTAATGCTTTGTGTCCCTAATATTTACAGTCTTTGGCTAATACCTACCCATGCTATCAATCTGTGTGTGACTGTGTTTGCATGTTGAACAGCTGGAACCCTCAGCTTTCTGTGAGATATAAAAATGTGGCTTCAACTAAGTGTTGCGCAAAGCGGTATTGTTGCACTGCAAAGCAGAAAAGCTAAAGCAGTCAGATACCAAGATAACAATAATAAATTCTAGTTTATTTTACTGTTTATTTCATCATATGTTTGACATCAGCAAGCAAACACTCTAGAAGAAGAATTCAAGCGCTGAAACTGGAATTTGTCTGGCTTGCAATTCAGTTTGTTGAATTTGCACATGTGTAACTGACACTGGTTGTATAAATCTGATTTCTGCATCCGACACGCAAGCGGAGTTGGAGTCCTTAGCACACGTTCACATTCACCTTTTCCAAATACACTTTAAACCCTCTACTGCATGGTAAACAATGTTATGTGATTATTTATGGGCTGACTATTTTTGTCGGTAATGGACCCTGACAGAACTCAAAGTCAGGACGTAACAGAAACATGGACTGGGTCTTCTCCAGGTGGGTCAGAATGGCTTGATCATCAGTTTAAAGCATCTATCTTAGAAATCTAATCGCAGACGCACAAGCCCACAAATCTGTCGTTCCTCTGGGTAAATGATAGCTCTTTATGTGGTTAAACTCTACTGGAATCTTAAATTAATTATCACTTTCCAAACCACGAAAACATCCAGCCAGAGACGGAAATAAACTCCAGTGAAACAAACATGTTTGATGGTTCTTTGGAGAACAGCCGCTGAGTTGGTCCTGTCTTCTACATTACTCCATCATTCCACAAATAGACACTTAGTGGAGCCTCAACTCCAAACTAGGTGCTGGCAGCTGCTGTTAAGTGTCTGTGAATGCGTGCAAGCGTGTGTGTAAGAAGAGTTTTGTATACATACAAGTGACCAACTCTGCCTCCTCTGAGAGCGGCAATCCTCAACTTGGAGGTTATTTTAAGATTTCTAAAATGCACATATTTTCACTTCTTTTAATACAACGAAAAGGCTTCTGTCACAGAACTTCATGTTCGTCACTTTTTTAAAACTATTTGGTCTCTAACGACGGAGGGCCTGGGTTTTGACATGAATGACATAGTGAGTCAAACATTTCACCAGGAACTGTTTAAAGCTTCCAGAGCGTTTCCACAGCAGATCATTGTTTCCAGTTCAAAGTCACATGGTCTGTCGGGGAGTCTCATCCACTGGGAACCGGTGTTGACTGATTGGGCCTGGGTACAATGGGCAGAGGGTGGGTGTTTAACAGGAAACATGTAATCTCTCCTCCTGATACAGTCATTGCCATGCTGCAGAAAGTTCCACCCTAAAATAAGAGCACAAGAACTACGGTGTTCAGGTCTCTGGTGTCCAGGCTAACATGACAATGTGGGATGTTACTATTTGAGTTTGAAATTCACACTGCGATTAAATAATATATTTAGAATCAAAATAATCAAGTAAAATACAGCACGGCAAAAATAAAGTCATAACAAGATATTTTAACAAAGAAGTAGCAGTAGTAGTTGTAGTAGAAGAGGAAGAGAGAACGGGTGAGACGATATGAATATGTCAGCAGTCGACAGGGTGTTTGTGAAGAGTTCTGACTTCTTTATGGGGTCATTAAAAGTCAAAGGTCAGGTCAGCTGTGCTAAAGAAAACCCAGTCTGACCCAGTCTCAGTGTACCACCACTCGCCTTTAAATGATGGCTGATAAATGTCACTGACACTTATCACAATGATATTCAGGACATCTGTATTGCAAATCCAAATTAATGTGTTTGATAATCAAGTCATGATTTCTATTTAGATCGCACAAACCTGAATTGGGAGATAAAATGAAACAACACTTTTATTTATAACTTCTCATTGTAGGCTAAATGAATCTGTGTCTGCAGATGTGTAACCAAGACTACATTTAAAAGTTGTAGACCTAAGCAACAGCCCTGCCCCTGACTCTCTCAACCGGTGCAAAACAAGCACACTCAGGCCGGAGGAACAAATCAAACACACCCCTGCTCTCACACACGCACTTTGTCAACAGCAACCATGGCAACACAGACATGAGGGCTGCTAGGGGCAAAACCATTTTACCTGTGAGAAGGCATTGAGTGCGTGAACACAAATACACAAAAGCGCATGTTAGCCCTCAGTGACACACACTGATTCAGTGAGTGTGCAAACATTATTCATGACTAACATTTCCTTTGTTTTTGCACTTTTTGTTCCAGACGCCCACTTAGACCTGCACCATCAAGGATCATCCGGGCCAAGAGGAAAAGAGCAACAAATTATAAAAATATAAATTATACACCCCTTTTCTATTGATGTAAATCAATAACTATTAATTCGCTTTTTAGGCAGGTATAAATAAAAAATATTGCTTCTCTACTCTCCTTCTGCCTATGAGAGCTTGTTTATGAATGTGGACTTTATAGGTCTCCAGGCAGATAGTTTCTGAAAGTTTAATGTTATATGGCTTTGATATCACTGTGTTTCGCACCGACTCTTTAGGTGGTTAGAATTTGTGGTTATAGCTGCAGGCTCTGCACCGATAGCAAAACACTGCAGGCATAAATATTTGACTGTCATCATTTTAAACTTTGCAGAAGATCAGAACAGAAAGTGGTTCTTGTCTTGGTATGAATGTCTTAAACTTCATAACTAAATGAATATTCTTTTTTTCATTCCCACTGTCTCCTTAAGCTTTTTTAACAGTGATACAGTGTTGTTGTCACATGTTATTGTCTGTCTGTGTGGTGTATAATAATGTCTTATTGATGCAAATAAGGAAATAATTAGTTTGACGCAGATAATTTACCTTCTCATATAATGATTGAACAATCTGAACAATATTGTGACTTTAATTCCATTGATCATCCAGCAATACTATTACTACTATTACAACCACTATACTATACAATTGTATGATTGGTGCAAAGTAAATGAGACTGTCTGCTAGCTACAAGGAAAGAAATGAAGCGTCTTTGGTTTGACTGGGTGAGCTCCCTCTTACTGTCCACATTCCTCACATGACTACATTCCTCTAATCAATTCAAGATCACACACACACTGACGGAGAGAGAGAGAGAGAGAGAGAATGACAGAGACAGAGAGGTGTTTATAAAAGAGAGAAAGAGAACATCCAAAACGCCACTGATGCAAACATATTGTGAAACAAATATTGCAAAAGTCTGCATGTCAGCTGGTCACACATCCCGGAAGAATGTTTAGACTCAGCTGCGATATTTGCAGATCAAATACACCACTATGTCTCACCTTATCAATCCTTGTCACGAAAAGCACTTTTAAATCCTTCAAAGGGTCTTTGATACAGATTGTGTTCACAAACACAAACTATGTAACTAAGATAAAGAGCAGAGGATGCAGTGTTAAGAAGTTAACACTCAAATCACATGCAGAAGGAGCCCACTTTAAATAGTTCACAAAACAAAAAAGACATTTACTGCAAAAAGAAAAATAGATGGATTAATTAAAATAAGTGGGCAGACATCTCTACAGAAAAGTTGTCAAGAAATGTGGAAACCTTGTGATAAGAAAGCAAAGAAAGTAAGAAACCACAGAATAATTGAATGATAGGCCATCAGATGATCTTTAAGGTCAATAGAAGCATTTGCACGTGGCATTTTCACAAGAACCTAACAGAAATGGCTACAGTTTCTAAGACATGGAACAGGGAAGCTGAACTATCGGACAGGAATAAAAAGCTAAAATTTACAAACCCAATACGACTTTTCTGTCATTGTTGCACCATGAAACCATGTGACTATTCACTGAAGCTGCTGTACTAAACCAAAAAGCAGGTAACTGGTTCAACATTTCAGGAACTTTTTCTTGTCATGCACAGATTTTTAACTAAAAAACAAAAACTGCTGAATCAGCCTTTCTCCAACCCATCAACAACTTGACACCAGCTTCACAAAGCAGGACTCACCTGAGACTACCCAGACTTCCATAGCTGTCTGGTCTTTCCTGCCTCCGTCTGTACAAGTCTGAGTTTGACAACTCTTTCAGCCTCAAAGTGCTCATCTCCCTTTCGTCTCTCTCTCTCTCTCTCTCTCTCTCTCCCTCCCCTTCCTTCCTCCCTTCCTTCCTTCCTTCCTACCCCTTGTCTGCTGAGAACACTTAGTCCACAGAAGTAGAGAGAGTCCTAAGCAATAGTGCGCATTTGGTTTAAAATGAAAAGATTAAATCTTGTGCCGCTCTCGTCCTCCCTCTTGAACACACCTCCAGGGCTCACACCCTTGAGAAAGACATGTACAGAGGTGTGGTCTCCCAGCCTGCACACCTATCAGCTGCTTCTTGCTCCTCCTCCTCCTTGTCCTTCAGCAGGTAGAGGGGAAATTTCTCGCAGAAAAGGAGAACACAGCTCTTTTCTAACCCTTGCCCTCGTTGTTTTCTCTCTCTCCCTCCTACTTCTTCTTTCCCTCGTTCCTCTGTGTAAGGGAAACAGAAGAAGAGAAGATAAAAGGTTCTTTTCCCCTCGCACACGTAGATATTACACACACTGTTCACACAATGGCAAGCTGTTAGTACTGATAAGTAATTACGTGGAGCAGACGGGCTTCAGTCATCCTACAGGACGCATTTGAGGTCAGGAATTACAGCCTGACC